AATTGAATTATCGCCTGGCTGTTAGCCTTCTGGAGCCTTTTCCCAAGGAGCCCCAGGGCACAATCTCGGACCCACTTGCGGCTTCTATTTACAAGGGTCAAAGGTCCAAGTCACTGTTGAATTTGATTTCACTTTAGCTTTTCTTTCTTTGCTTTGCTTAATTTTACCCTCGAGGTGGATGCACGTGTTGGGCAGATCCTTTAGGGAAAAGTGATTGCTAACTAAATAGGGTTTGGTGGATAGGACCCTGGACAGGGGGTCAGAGACCTGAGCTTAAATCCCACTTCAGAAGCCAGGGTTCTGTGTTTCTGGGCAAGTCACTGAAACCTGGGATTCACTTCCCTTAACTTTGAAAGAAGGGGGTTGGACTCTGTTTCCTCTCAGTTTCTTTCCAGATCTAGGATCCTTAAGAGCTAAATGGGACCTCTGGGGTCTCCTACTTGGAGAGAGGGTGGAGAGGTCCCCTTTTAGGTAGGACTTAAGCCTTTTCGTACAAGGCTTCTTTGGGCCCATCATGTTTTCTGGATAATTTCTTACAGGCTGTCGCTGAGAGACGGTAAAGTGCTTACTTATCAGGGAGTGTCCACTTTTGTCTTTATCTCTCTAGGATTTAGCACAATGTCTGAGACCTAACGGGTATTTAATAAATGCACATTACCACCACGGCTGATGTAAAATGAATAAAGGGATGAGTGCATCAATAAAAACCATTTAGGAAGCACTTACTCTGTTCCCAGCCAGTGCTAAAAGCTGGTGACACAAACACAAAAGCTAAGACGGCTCCTGTCCACAAGGCGATTACATTCTAACTTCAGAAGACAATTCACATATAACAGTGACTGCTAGGGCGGTATTATGGAGATGGGGAGTGGAGTCCTGTGGGAGTAACTTGACACACTCTTTCCAAGAGCAATAAGGGAGTTGGTTTTGGTTAGACTTCCAGATCTGGAAGTGTTCTGGGAGGTGAAGTAGGGCTGGGACAGGGAAAGCCTCCAGAGAACAGCAACAGATTGAAATGGGGGGGTGGAGTCAGGATGACCGCCAGGTTGGGAGTCTGGGGAACTTGGAGGATAGTGTCACCCTTGACTGTGATATTGTTTGTCCTTTCTTTCCTTGTGGATTGGAATTGCTTCCAAAAGTCGACATCTTCATTCTCTCTTCCTGAGTCATCCAAATCCAGTGGCAACACACAAGTCAAGACCATTGGTGCTGGTCCAGGATCAGTGGATGACTTTGATTTCTGCCCAAGCTCTAATGGCTCCACATCACCTGCTTGAGCCACCTCCATGGCCACTGGAACAAATTGTTCCCATCAGCCCATTCTGCAGGGGGTGGGGAGAGGGAAGTCTTCCCATGCCTGGAATAGATATCCCATAATTCACTGACTGGTCTGAGGCCTGTTGGTTACTCTCGATCTGTTTTAGCCTGTTGGCCAAGACAGTTTGACCCGAGTGTGGCAGCTGTGCTCGCTACAGCTTCTGGTAGTCACAGGTGAGAGCTGGGCACCAGAAGTGGGCAGGCTCCTGAAAAGTGCTCCACAAGCCCTCACACCAGAGGTTCAAGTCCTCCCTGAACATCCATGTACATCCTGAAGGACATCTTGATGTTAGGAACAGGGATGGGAGGACTTTAGGGAAAAGACACTGAACTGAAAGTTCCAAGATGTTTCAGAGTTGAAGATCCAGCTAAAGGGGCCCAATAGGTGGGTGGAGATGTGAGACTGGAAGTTAGTGCTGGATAAATAGATCTGATAATCCTCAGCAGAGAGATGATAATTGTATAGAAGGAGAAGAAATTGATGATGGATAAATCAACCAAGGGCACTGAGGAGTGGGGCAGACTGGAGCAGGTCTAGAAACCTTGACTTGTTTCTAGCCATCATCCTAGGAGTCGACCCTTGTGCAGATGCAGTCTGGGATCTACTTCTTGGGGTACTGCACACCCAGAAAAGAAAATTCTCACCACCCAAGTCCTTGGCATTGCCAAAGGGCTCAAAACCAGAAATGGGTTCCATTTTATTGATGGAGATGGTATTTAAAGAGGAGGCATCACCATTGGCTTTGTCGATGCACCTTATGAAGGGGGGTTGTTATCTGATGATTTGTAGCTGCAAACTCCAATAGGTGCTGTCTCTCCATGTGAAATGTGGGCTCTGAGAGTTCAGATGTCTATGACCTCTATTTTGATCACCAGAACTTAGCAAAATGCTTGGCACACAGTAGGCACTATATCAGACATTCTTAACCTTTTGAGGTGCCATATGCCCCTTTGGCAGCTTAGTGCAGCCTATGGACTCCTTCCTGAAATAATAGTTTTAAATGCATAAAATAAAATACATAAGATTATAAAAGAGACCAAGCATGTTGAAATAGTTTTCCATCTAGATATGTGCTAGTTATCTATCTATCTATCTATCTATCTATCTATCTATCTATCTATCTATCTATCTATCTATCTATCTATCTATCTGTCTGTCTGTCTCTACACAAAGCATAGGGTAAGAACTCTTCCTCTAAATAAAAGCTTTGGTTTTTTTTCAGTCATCAAACCTTCCAGTTCACAGATTTGACACCTTTGGAGTGGGACCACTCAACATTTAAAACCTGGGAATTAGATCCTCACCAGAGAAAAGCTTAAAGTCCAATAAAGCATCAGCGATTATGATGAATGATGCATATAATACTCAATACTACATTTTATTATTAGTAATAATTCATAACATTTCATTAAAAACCCTCTGAAACCTGTTACAGATTATGTCCCCTTGGGGTATTAATTAGAGCACACTACCTCTATAACCCATAAATATACCTACTAACTCGGGATGGAGGTCTGGATTTGGAGTCTGGAAGAAACAGGTTCAAATTCCACCTCTACCACTTTCCAGTTGCATTATCTTGGACAAGTCACTTCTCAGGCTTTCAATGAGCCGGTTTCTTCTGCAGAATGGGGATAATTGTAACAGAATTACTGTTCTTCCTCAGATTGCAGAACAACTAACTATTTTTTCTTTGTCTCACACATTGCAATGTAAACTCCTTAAGGGTAATTCTTTTGCTTAGCTGGCTTCCGAAAGTGTGCCGACTGTGCAATAAGAGCTTAATAAATGCTTGTTCATTGCTAACGTGTCCTCAAATGGATTTTCTAAGTCTTAAATCCAGTGTAAATGTTATCTATTATTATTATCCCCCAAAGCCATCCACACACTCTCACCTAGTTCTCCAAATCCAAAGCAAGGATTCCCAAAGTGTACCTTTTCTATCCTTTGAAGGGGGTGGGTAGGTGGAGGGGAGGTCACAACCATTTTCATAATAATACCAAGACATTTTAATTTCTAATATGGTACGTTTTAATATAAATAATCTAAATTAACATTTTTTATTGCATAAAAGGCCTGAAACAAAAAAGTTTGAGGACCTCTGCTTTCCTGTTGGGGTTCTTGATTTTTGTGACTTTTTTTGGGTTCCCTCCACCCCAAGCCGGTGACCTTCTCAGAACAATATCTTTAAATGCATAAAATAAAATACACAGAATTACAAAGGAAACGAATTGTCGTGGGGGGAAAAGTGCCTGGAGCCTGGGTTAAGAACACCTTGTGCTAGGGACCTACAGGGATAAGGTGAAATGATTTCCCGCCGTTGGGCCAATGGAAAGGAGGCCCAAGGTGGACTAAATTCATGACAGAGTTGGGTTCTAGAGCAGGTGCTAACTCCTAGCAAGAGGTGCAGAGGAGGCGGGGAAGAACGGGAGAGCAGCGAATCGATGCGTCAGGGTAGAACCAACTTGGAAAAAAGGCATAATGTAATCTTGGGGTTGGAGGACAAAGTTACGGGTCACTGAGGCTGTGCCCCCTCAGGGGGCTGGCTTTAGTCCCCACATCTGGCTCCTCTGGCCCCCACATTTGGTTCTTCCGGTCTTGTCTCTGTGGGAGGCTGGAGCTCCTCGGCTTCCCCAAATAGAAGTAAAATATTGGGGGAGGGGTAGAAGGCTCGACCTGAAAAACCCCTTAGGCTGTTTCCTGGAGGGCTGGAGAGGAGAGAGAAGCGGAGGGAGGGAGGAAGCAAAGGAGGCAGAGGGGCCCTCCCCCAACTGAGGCCCAGGGGACTGAGAGCCCCAGGCTCAGGTTCAGCCTCTGGCTACCCCTCCCCCACCCGTGCCCTCAGCCCGCCGACTTTAGGAGACCTAGGTCCTGGGTTTCCGGGGGTTCTAGGGCTCATAGTACTGCCAGCCTACAAGTCTCGAGATACTCGCCCGGCCCCTTCCCCTTATGGTCATCCCTAAGTCTCCATTTCTGTAAAAGATGGGGGATGTCTAGCTTGGGGACCAAAGAGTCTCATGAAGGGGGTGGCGGTGAAGTGGGGGGAAGGGGACAAGCAGGAAATTGTGGCTTGGAGGGGGAGGGAAGCGAGGCAGAAGGAAAAAAGAGAAAACTCAGAGACCCAGAGACTGGGAGGTGAAGAGAGAGTAGTTAAGGCTGGCTGGGAGGCGGGGCCAGGAGAAGCTGGACGGGGCGGAGCCAGGGCGGGGCCGGGGGGGAAATAGACCGGACAGGTCCAGGAGGAGCTGGAGGAGGAAGGGCCGGGAGGAGATGGATGGGACAGGTCCAGGAGGAGCTGGCCGGGGCGGGGCCGGGAGGAGATGGACTGGAGGGGCAAGCCGGAGACCGACTAGATGGGGCCCGGAGGAGCTGAGCGGGGCGGAGCCGGGAGGAGATGGACGGGGCGGGGCCGGGAGGAGATGGACGGGACGGGGCCGGGGGGAGCCGGCCGGGGCGGGCCCTTCCCGGGCCCTTCCCCGCCGGCCCCCGGCCTGGCCCCGCCTCCGGCCGGCCCTGGCCGGCCCTCCGGCCCCAGGCGCCGCGGCTGGGCTGGGCTAGGCTGGGCAGGGTCGGGCGGCTGTGCGCACGGCTGCCGGCCCGCCCGCTGGCCTGCGTCAGAGCCGGAGTTTTCCACTGACGGAGGCAGGAGGAGGAGGAGGAGTCGCGGGGGCCGGAGCGCGCAGCTGAGCGGCGGGCCGGGCGGGCAGACGGGCAGACGCGCTGGGAGGCTGGGAAGGAGAGCCACGGGCTGAGCGCAGCTGAGTCGAGCCTAGCCCGATCCCGATCCCGATCCCGATCCCCAGTCCGAGCCTGAGCCTGAGCCCGAGCAGCGGCCCCCGCGCCCTGCCTGGGGATGCGGAGCTGAGCCTACCCGTCCGGTCCCGTCCGGTTCAGTCGCGTCCAGTCCCGTCCCGGCCATTGCCGCCGCCTACGAGCAGCTCTCCGGGATTGCAGCAGGTTAGCCGCCCCCCCCCCCGGCCGCCGCTGGACGTCTGATCGTCTGTCTACCTCTGTCTTTCCCTCTCCCCCTTCCCCCCTCGCGTCCCCCTCCCCCATCACTCCCCCTCCGCCTCCCGTGAGACGGCAGCCCTGGCGGGCGCCTCAGTGCTCAGCCGGACAGCCGCGGATGGACGGCGAGGGAAGGTTCCCGTAGAGTCCGCCTTTCGCCCCGCCCCCTCCCAAGTTTCCTGCCCCCCTCCCCCGGCCCGCCCGGGGATGGATTCCTGGGCGGGCAGGAAGCAGGAGTAGGTAGGTGGGGGAGCAGGATTTCGGGGGGTGGGGTGGGGGGGCCCTTCCCTGGCCCCGGCCCGCGGGCGCCAATCGGATCTCAGAGCGCTTAAGACTTCGCAGGCCGCCGGGAAGTGAGCAGACTCAGGGCGGGAAAGAGTGAAGGGGGAGGGCAGGACTGGCCTGCGGGGAGCCTGCGCCCCCCGAGCTAGCCCGTCTGAGGCCCCCCGGGCTGAGAGGTGGGGAGTCGGGGGCGGGAGGAGCCCGGATCCCGGGGAAGCCAGCCTGTCAGCCACCCTCCTTCGATCGTGCGGGGGCTCAGGGCCAGGTTGTCCGGAGTATCGTATTCCTCCTACTCTGGGGGTTCCCCCGCACGTGGGGCTCTCCCGTGTCACCTGTGGGTGCGGGTGCCATGGGGGGTTGGCACCCAGGGTCGTTTAGGGTGAGCAGGAGTGAGTGTGTGCCTTTGACTGTGGATGTCCGGGTGACAGCAGCAGCGGTGGTGTCTGTGTGGGATTCGGGGTGACAGTGACCGTGGATGGGATGTGTCACCGTGTCGTGTGTGTGTGTGTGTGCGCGCGCGCGCGCGCACCTCTCTATGACTGTCTCTGGGTGAGTCAGACTTGCACAGGACGTCAGAGTGGGAAGGGACGTTATAGGTCATCTCCCAACTCCCTGGCTGGGATGAATGAGGAAACTGAGGCCCGGAGAGACCAGTGGGCCAGCCTGAGGTCCCTCGGGCTGAGCGCTGTGCCAGCATCGGGCCCCAGTCCGTTTGGACTTTGCCAATCTCTTTCCGAGCTTCTCCCTGCCTCTGCTGGTGACAATTTGACCCTCCTTTGCCCTCCCCTTCCCTCCTCCCCACCCCCTTGGCTACAATCCAATTAAGGCCAGAGCCTGCCCCTCCCTTCTTCCCCTTTGGCCCACCTGGAATGTGGGGCCATCCTTAGACCCCCAGCCTGGGATTCCTTCTGGTTTCCCCTCCAGGTCATACTTGGGAAGTTGGGGACAGGCCTTGGCCCGGGAGAAAGAGCCCCTCCCCCCTCCCAGGGACTCCTGGATCCTGGGAGAGGGGGAGGGGGAGTGGAAGACCTAGCATGGTGTCTGTCCTGCCTGTACACCTGTCTGTCATACACAGAGGCACGCCCTGAGCCCCACATATGCTCTCACATATAGACCTCTAGTCTTACCGACTCCTAACAGACCTACATCTATTTATTTGCTTAAACAGGCCAACTTTTTTTCTGGATGGGTCTGATTCACTTTTGACTTTATATCCTTCCCGCCAAGCCTGCAGTAGGTGCTTAATAAATGCTCCTTGGTTGATTACCTCATCCTAGGCTGCTTACCTTCTTTTGTATCATAGGCCCCTTCTCCAAATTATTATCCAGCTACCTCCACTGTATAGGATTGCCAAGCAAACTGATGGTAGTGACATACAGTTAGGGAAATATTTTAAGATCTGGTTTCTAGACCCTAAGTTAAGAACTGGGAGCTAGTCAGATTCCATTAGCCAAAAGACCTAATGTTGTTCCTCTGCCCCCAGGGAGGCAGAGAATCGGTTTAACAAGCATTTATTAAGTGCCTGGTGTCCTTGCCTTCGAAGAATTGATGATTTCCTATGGGATCACAGGAGGATAGATTGAGATCTAGACTTCACTTTACAGATGAGACCCAGAGAGGGGTGGTCCCAATTCCCCCAGAGATGTGAATGTCAGAAACAGGCTTTGAAGTCAGGTTATCTGTGCCCACCCCACTGTACCACACTTACTCCCAAGAGGAGGAGGCACACTGTAACCTAGAGTGCAGTATGGGCACAGGGGAGGTTGGGAGACATTGTGAGCAAGGATTGCTTCACTTTCAGCTGAGAGAGAGAAAGAGAGAAGGAGCTGGAAGGGACCTCTACGGCCATAGAGTCTACCCCCCTCATTTTTTGTGTGGAGGCACTCTGGGGTTAAGTGACTTGCGCAAGATCACACAGCTAGTAAGTGTCTGAGGTCGGATTTGACCTCAGCTCCTCCTGACTTCAGGACTAGTTGCTTTATCCACTGCTCCACCTAGTTGCCCCTACTCCACTTAGTTTGTAGATGAAGAAATAGGCTCTGAAAGGTTAAGTGAAGGCCAGGGCCACAAGGCTAGTTTCTCAGGCAAGATTTGAACTCGGGCCTTCCTGACCATTACTCTAACCACTTTGTCACATAGGGAAGGATTTCAAAAGTCAGATTTGTTTTTCAGGTGTGTAGTTGGCCCATGTTAATATATGCAAATAGGAGAGGGTCTGGGCAAGGCTGAACTGAAATCATAACCACAGCTGACATTTATTTCTTTGGTACCATCTGTGACATTTTCTCCTGGGAGCCAGAGAGTTTATCAGAGCAGTAGTGACCAGTCCAATCCATACATTACCAGTGAGGTGACCTGGGATGGTGAGGGGCCTTCAAACCATCCCTTATGCGAAAAACTGCGCCATTAGAACCTGAAGATGGGATTTCTGTATAGGACCATGGCCATCTTCCATGGATCTTCAGAGGGATGAGGGACCCCTTGTTTTGCCTAGCAGAACTGGCGGAGATAATAACAGTACTTGACATTTCTGTAGCATTTTAAAGCATGTCTTATGCCCTTTGACCCTTTCAACCAGACCTTGATGTAGGTAATATAGCTGTTACTGAATCCATTTTACAGATGAGGAGACTGACTCAGGGAGACTGAGGGACCCTCCGTAAGCAAGGCTATGAAACTACTCGATATTGGGGGAAGGACTGGCCCTAGTGCAATATTTCATGCTGCCTATCTTCAGGAGGCCAGATTTTCAATCTATAGTGTCTCCTTAATTAAAGCTGTCCTAGACTTGGATTAAGCTGCCTTGGAAGGTAGTGAGCTTCCCATCCGTGGAGATATTCTGAGCAGAGAATTAGTGACTTCTGATCAGAGGTATTGTAAAGAGGATTCCTGTTGGGTGATAAGACCTTCCATTGAGGGGTTAGACCAGAGGAACATCTGTGATTCATTTTGCATTTGAGGAAACTGATCCCCAGGAAAGTGTTAACTTACCCAAGGTCTGGTAGTCAATCAGTGGTAGAAACAGAGACTTGTTTAGACACACAGATAGTAGGACAGGGATTGCCTTGGGAAAAAGGAAATTAATCCCTGAAGTGTGAAGTGTATTTGGGAGGGGTGGGGGTTGGGGGAGATCCCAGAGCTGGGCTCCAAGGCCTCAGTCACCCCTGTTCTCACTCTCCCACCCTCATTTTACATTCTTAATGTCTTGGAGGGAGGGTCAGGGGAGGTATTAGGGAAGAAAGATCGCCTCAACTTTGGGGGAGAGGGCCTTTAGAGGATGAGGCTTCCTCAGCTTCTCAGAAGCTCGGAATTTTAAGAGATTATTTAGTCCCAAATTATTCATTTGACAGGCAGGGAAACTGAGGCCAAGTGCTTTGGACAAGGTCAGTCAGCAAGCTAATGGCAGTTAGAAGTGGGTAATAATGCCAGCTTCCTGACCCCTGTTCCAGTCATCTTTCTACAACTCTATCAAAGCTAGTTCTTCTGTCTCTGTTTCTGGATGTTTCTGGAATTGTGTGGATTTTGTGCGTGTGTGTGTCTATCTCTCTTTTTTTCTTCATTACTCCTCTGCCTTGTCTCCCCCGCCCCCCCCATCACACTGAGGGCATTAGTGACTGCCCTTTCTCCCAGGCCCTTCAAATTAAAGGCTGATACTATGCTCTAATAATGGGGTCCCTCAAACACCCTGGGTACCAGCTGCCGTGGGGGAGTGGGGGACAGGGTCTTGGGGTTTCCTGATTCCTTGGCTGTGGACAGAAGTAGCTTTGGAAGTTTTAAAGGACAAATTCCTGAAATTCCTGCCCAGGCCACAGGGAGGAGGGGGGATGGGCTGCCAGTGGGAAGGGGGGGAGGGGAGAAAAAAATCATAAAGCATCAACTCCTCCTGGGACCAAACCCAAATCCACAAGAGCTGAGTTCAGATCCTGATTCTGCCTCTTAAAAGCTCGGACACTTTGGATAAGTCACTCTCCATCTCTGAGCTCCTGATCTTTAAGATATCTGGGTTTGCCTAGACGAGTCTTGAATGTAGCCCCTTCTGGCTCAGTGACTCTGATCCTGGGCCCCCTTCCCCCAAGCCCGGCCCTACTTCTGGAGGCTCAGTGGGATGTGCCTGCAGGCTGGGGTTGGGATGATGACGAGGGGTGGAAGGCCAGAATCCCAGCCCAGGCACCCTCTCAGATGCCCTTTGCTGTGGCTCAGGGGGCTGCTGCCAAGGCCCCTCCGGCAGCTGGTGAAGCCCATGAGCCCCTGGTCCCCTCGGCCCAGGCTAAGAATCTTCTGCTTTGGCCACAGGTGGAGATTGAATCCTGGTCAGAATATGGGTGAAGCTCTTCAGTTACCTCTGATCACCTGTCCTGCCCCTGGCTGGGCCTGCCCAGGGAGTGGCTTTCTCCTCCCTCTCTGTGCCCATGCAGTGCCCACGGCCCATCCCCTGTTAATCCTATTTTCCTATCGCTGTGGTCTTGGGAATCTTGGGAAGAGCAGGCCAGTGGGAGGCCCGGGGCTGCCTGGTGCACCCCCCACCCCCCTCCCAGTTCTTGGTGTCTGTGTCTCAGTTTGGGGGAGGCTCTCTCTTTTCTTTTCTCCTAACTGCAGAGTGGGCTGGCTGGCCTGCATAGAGAAGCCTTTCCCAGGCCTCAATTTTAGCCCCTTCCCTGTGAGACGATTCCCAAGTTAGCCTGGATATCCTGTTGGTACAGAATTGTTTGGGAGTCCTCTGTCCTGTTAGACTGAGAGTTCCTTGAGGGAAGTGACTGGTTTTTGCCTTTCTTTTGTATCCCCAGCACTTAGCACAGTGCCTGGCACATAGTAGGAGCTCAATAGCCCCCGCACAGGGCCTGGCACACAGTAGGTGCTTTAATAAATATTTATTCCTTTATGTTTCCCTGGGCCTCACTTAAACTGAGTCTGTAGGGGTCCCTTCTGTTGCTGCCTGCTCAGCTGATATCCTTGACACCTCAGCCCCTCTGTCAGACATTTCCCCACCTATTTTCTCCTCCCCAGGTGACTCCTGCCATCTACACCCAGTAGTCATGTCAGGGGAGACACCTAGACCTGCCATCCAGAGAAGGGCAGTTTGAGAGTTCTTGGGTGCTGTCCTACGGGCATGCGAGAGCTGACAATTGGCTAAATGGTCAGTGGGGGCCCTTTCTGAGGCAGGCGTGGGGGGCACCTGGTCAGGAGGCTGGAGGGGGCAGAGGACTCCTTTCATTCAGAATGAGTGTCAAGTATCGGGAGACTGGGGCCAGGCAGGGATGTGGGGGGAGGGGCTTGGGGGCTGTTGTTTGCGGTTTGGTAGTTGAGGGGAACAAGAACACGGCCAGCAGCCCCGGAAGCAGCTGTGCCCATCCCTTTGACACACACGCTCCTTTCGTTCTCAGAACCCCCTCAGCGGGGGAGGAGGAAGCAGGGCAGCAGGGATTAGCATTCCTATTTTACAGGTGAGGAGACTGAGGCTGGGTGGGTGGGTGGTGACTAGTAGCAGGTCCACGGGACGGTTAGGAAAGGGGGCTGGGATTTGCAAGCAGGAGCCCTGGCACTGATGGGCTCAGGGATGGGGGATCAGGAAGGCTTCTGAGCCTGAGCTGCTGGAGGCTTCGCCTGTGCTAGGGGCAGGAGAAAGAGGGGAAGGCAGGTGGGAGGGGAGTCAGGTGGAGGCCGGGTGGCGGGGTGAGCCTTGCCCTGGATCAGACACTGGGGCCATAGGCGGCTGGAAGAAATCCAGCCCCCACCCTCTCCATCTGTTCTGGCCAGAGACCAAGGAAGTGGAAGCTTAAGCAACCACCTGCAGCTTGGGGCTGGGGCCCCTGGGAGCCAAAGATGAAGGGGGAAAGAGGATGATGGCAGAGAAGGACAGTAGGGGCAGGCAGGGAGGAAGCTAATGGGGGGCGTTGAGGGATTGCTGTTCACTTGTCTTAGTCATATCTGACCCTTGGTGACTCCATTTGGGGTTTTCTTGGCAGAGATACTGCAGTGGTTTGCCATTTCCTTCACCAGCTCATTTGACAGGTGAGAAAGCTGAGACAGACAGAGTGAAGTGACTTGCCCAGAGTCACACAGCTAGCCAGTGTCTGAGGTCAGATTTGAGCTCAGAAAGATGAGTCTTCCTGCCTCCAGGCCTGGTGCTCTATCTATCCACTTCACCACTTAGCTGAGTCAGGCCTTAGGAGGCTGCGAAATAGGGAGGGATGAGATGGAGGGAAGGAAAGTGGGGTGACTGTTCAGTAGTGCTTCTGGATTCCTTGGCTTTGTCCGTCTGGGCCTGGCCCTTCTACCAGCTTGAGATTTTGGATATTCTGTAGCTCGGTTCCCTCTTATCCACCCCCAGGTGCTTCCTGTATTTTGAACTGTTTCAGAAATAAATACCGCATTCTGAGAGATACCTCTTCTGAGCCGGCTGCTCACTCTGCAAACCCTCCCTTCTCTTCGGACGCTCCTACCTTTTAATCATCAGCCGATGAAAACACAACCTGTGCCCCTCTAAGCGTTAGCCTTTCTGGCCTAGTGATTAAATAAAGCCTTGGCCGTGCTTTTTGGATTTCTTCCGACGGTCTCCTTGGGCCGCCACGTGAACTACTGGAAGTGGGTGGTGGTCCTCAGGAGCTTCCCATCATTCCCTGGGAAGATGCCCCAACACAGAGTGGAGGGAGCCAAGCTAGCAGGCAGCACTGCATTGGGAACCTGTGGCCCCCACAGCTGCATTACGTCTTGCAACATGGGACTGTTGCTCTTTGGGGGTCCCCGGCCCCTCTCTGGGAGGAAGCTTGCCTGTAATACCCCTCCCCGAATCCAGTGGTCCTTCTCTTCTTTGCTGCTTGAAATGGGGTTAGGAGTCCCCTCTGATGCCTAACCTTTTGTATTCTTCTGTTTGCTCTTAACCTGGAGTTAGGGCCTGACTTGCTGGTTGTTATTTGATGCTGGCAGAAACACAAAGCTCATATACACCCTTTAGGATCCTTGCAAAATCCCCCCCTTTTCCACCTAGGTGCCTCAGGCATCTCACTTCTTTCTTATTGTTCTAGCTCTTTAGTAATGCCCATGGCCGCAGTGATTCTTCCTCAAGGGAGGTTGGGAAGGCCTTATTCTCTTAGAGTAGGTCTTGTCTTATGAGAGGCTGCCAGTATGTGGCACTGCCCTCAGCAGCTGTCTATGGGAAGGCCTCACGGGGAAAGTCCACTTCAGCCTTCCCTTAACACTGTCTACCTCTGCTGTCCTCACCCTTCCATTAGACTCCCCCCTCCCCAATACTACTCTGTGCTCGGGGATCCCTGGAGCTAGGAGCTGAGAAGTGTCAGCTGAGGGCCCCTGGGCTTAGACCTTAACGAAGCTGAGAATGCCAGGGCTGAGTGTGTCAAGGGTGACCAGGCCTGGATGGGGCCGGGCAGGCAGACGCTGAGCTCCGGAAATCTGGATTGGAGAGTCGGGGCTGAGTCAGAGGGAGCTGCCTAGCCCAGCCCCTTTCTCTCTCTCTCCCTCTCTCTCTCTCTCCCTCTCTCTCTCTCTCTCTCACTCTCTCTCTCTCTCTCTCTCTCACTCTCTCTCTCTCTCTCCCTATCTCTCCCTCTCTCTCTTTCCGTTGTCCCAATGCATCCAAGTCTTCTGCTGAGCTGAACAGTTACTAATAATAACTTTACTCTATCACTGCTGGCAACCCAGCGACAGAGTGTGCGTGTGTGTGTGCGTGTGTGTGTGTGTGTGTGTGTGTGTGTGTGTGTGTGTGTGTGTCTGTGTGTAAAAGAGAGAGGGCATCTAACTTCCAGGGCTGTAGGGTGGCTAGAGATATCACACAGACACACACAGATCCACGCACACGCACACACCCACATGCGCACGGCTGTGCTCACGTACTCACTCACACCCACTCGTGTGGAGGGTGAGTCACAGACGGGCTCATCTTCCAGGAATCCTCTGCAGGCAGACTTGCCTTTCCCCCTGTGAGTAGAGAAAGAGGGGAGGCCCCGGCCTGAGCCCTGGCCCCAGCTCTATCCCTATCGGATTAGGTCCCCGTTTGTTGGTGGGGAGACAGAGGGGTGCTGATTCTTAGGCCGGCGCCTCCTTCCTAGTGCCAGTACCCTTGGAGATTCCGGGGGGACTTCTTGGTTAAGTGGTGAGATAAGGTGTTGGCAGAGGACTCTGGGACAGCCCAGGTATGCTGCCCGGGCGTGTGGGGGTGGGAGGTCATGATGACCAGGCTGTGTTTCTCACTCAGAACGTTTCCTTTAGCGATCCTTTCTTCCTTGCCAGCAGGCCTCACTTGTGAATTCTGCTTCACAGATCCTCTAGCTTTGGGGAGCTCTGGGTGTGGAAGGGGCCCAGAGGATGAGAAGCCCAAGGTGACCTGAGGCGTCACAGGGCTATGGGTCAGAACTGGAAGGGACCCCCCCAAAAGCCGCCTAGTCTACTCCCTCATTTCATAGATGAGGAAATTGAGGAATACCTAGGTTAAAGTCACAAGTGGGGCCAGAGAGCCAGAGCTGGGACGGGCCTCCCAGGTCATTTTGTGGAGGAGGATGCTGACGACTGGGGCATGCTGTGCCCTGTCCATGCTGGTCCGGATCATGGCCTACATCTCCCCTTGGATCAGTCCTCGCGGGCTTGATGCTGGCCCCAGGTCGGCGGGCTCAGCGTCTCCCTTGTCTCTACTAGCGCCTGTGCCCTGTTCTGTGTTTCACATCTTGGCTTCGTGTGTCCTTGCAGGTGTAGAAGCCAGGATGAGCGGGCTTTTGAAGAGGAAGTTTGACCAGCTGGATGATGATACCTCTGCCTCCTCCGCCTCGTCGTCCTTCTCTCGCTCTTGCTCGCCGACCTCGTCCTCCGAATCCTCGGGCTGGGACTCTGATGAGGAGTTCCACCCGGCTGCCTTTGGGCCCAGGGACCTCATCAGTGAGTGTTCCTTCCCTCCCTTCCCCTCCTGGATACGGGCATGGGTGTGGGGTGGCCACAGAGCCCTTTCCAGAGCCCTAGAGTTGGCAAAGTGCCTTCCTCCTTGACTCCAGCCGGTGGGAGAGTTAGTGCCATCATGACATCTCCCTGTGACAGATGAGGAAACTGAGGCCTGGAGCTAGTTCATTGCATCATGGGTTGTTTCAAGCAGGGGTTCTTCACCCTTTTTGTGTCCTGGACTCTTTGTGTGTCTGGTGAAGCTGAGGAACTTCTCAGAAAAATGTTTTTAAATGCATGTAACCTACGTAGCATGACGGGGATGCTGTGTATGTAGAAATACAGGTATCACAGTATTTAGAGAAAATGAACAGACCCCAGGCCAAGAACCTCTGATTTAGAACTGGAAAGGACCCCCAAGGTCATTTGAGTCCACCCCTCTCATTTTACAAGTGGGGAAACTGAGGCTGAGAGAGGAAATGACTTGTGAGATCATGTAAGTGGGTGAAAGTGTCCAAGCAGTGTCGGGAGCTGGGTCTAATAAGCCAGGCCTCTGTCCTGGCTTCTCGCAGTGGTGGAGGTTTTGTGTGAGCCTTGTAAGCCCTGAGGGATGAGGGCCAGGAGGGGCATTGGGAGGAGCTCCCAGAGGAGGGAGGGCCGGGGGCTCAGGCCTTTGGGCCAGCCCTGAGAATCTCCTTTCACCTCCAGCTCCATCCATCCTGAAGAAGACCCGGCGCTCTGCAGGGAGCGTGAACTTTGCTGGGGTCACTGTCTTCTACTTCCCAAGATGCCAGGGCTTCACCAGCGTGCCCAGCCGAGGGGGCTGCACCCTGGGCATGGTGAGGCGGCACCACGCCTGCTGCCACTTCACGCTGGAAGAGTTTGCACAGGAGCAGTCCCACTCACGAAAGGAGAAGCTCCGAATGAGACTGAGGGAGGAGAAGCTGGAGGCCCTGAAGTGGAAGGTAGGGGTACTGTAGACGTGTGTGTGTGTGTGTGTGTGTATGTGTACGTGTGCGCGTGCATATGCACATGTACCATAGTGTAGCACACATGTGCAAACATGCAAGTGTATATGTGCAGGCATGCACACAGTGCAGCACAATGCAGTATGTGCACACGTGTATCACAGTGCAGCAATGTGCAAATGTGCGTGCGTGCATGCTGTGCAGCACATATGTGCAGACACATACACTCACACGCATGTGCACACACATGCACACACTACACCTTTAATATGTTTTCAAAGGTCAGTGTCGATGGGCGTCTTGCCCAGCACGAGGGCTGCTGGCCTTGTGGCTCTGGCCCTGGCGGAGGGTTTCCTGGGATGTACCAGGGCAGCCCGATACTGCTGCCCCTGTCCATTTGGGCTTGGCACAGAATGTCCTCCACGTTCACACTCTGCACGCGGTTTGACACCGCGTTCACCTGTGGGCTGCTGCATCCTCACGTTGGCTCTTATTGAACTGACTGTCCCTGAAAACTGCCTGGTAGTTTTTCAGATGGACTAGATTTTCCTCCATCTTGAACTTGTGACGTTGATTTTTTGGATGAGGGTGTGAGCTGTTCCTTTTCCCATCAGTCTCCTCTGCCGTCCTATTCTGCCCCCTGCCGCCCGTGCCTGTGACCCGGGAGGCTGATTTTGCGACCGTGTGCCCTTCCTGTCATCTGTCTGCCCGTCTCACCTCCTTCCCCTCACCCCCTCCAGCTCAAGGCCAGCGGGGTGCAGGAGCCGGAGGAGATGCACCAGCTGCCCGTGGAGGAGGCCGACGTGGAGGTGACGGATGAAGAGCTGGACAGTGGCGCCTTCCTGCAGCCCTACTCGGCCCGACAGCGGCGCAGACTGCTGCGGGCCGTGGGTGTGAGGCGGATTGACCGAGAGGAGAAGCAGGAGCTGCAGGCCATCCGACTGTCTCGGGAGGACTGTGGCTGCAAGTGTCAGGATGTGTGTGACCCCGAGACCTGTGGCTGTAGTGTGGCTGGGGTCAAGTGCCAGGTGGGCCCCTGGGGGGCCGGGGGGTGGGGGGGCAGGGCTGGGCCCCCTGGTCGCGGGGACTGTCCCTGGGGGTCTCGTCCTCATTGCTTCTCTCTCTGGGTTTGGTTACAGATGGACCACACGTCCTTCCCCTGCGGCTGTACCAAGGATGGCTGTGGGAACCCGGAGGGCAGGGTAGAGTTTAACCAGGCACGGGTGCAGACACACTCCCTGCACACCCTCACCAGGCTGGAACTTGAGAGTCGACAGGAGAGCTCGCAGTCCGAGGCTGAGTTGCTGCAGGACAGTTCTGCTGCTGCCTTTGCCTGCCTGGAGGACGAGGCTGGGCCCCTGGGGCCTCCCCCACCAACCCCGACTTTTCCATTCCCTCTGGGCATGGAGATTCTGGGTGACAGCAGTTGTAGCAGTGACACGACCGACTCCTCAGCGTCCTCAGTCCCCAGTGAGGACCCCTCTGAGGGGAGGCCCTACGGAGGAGCCATCCCCTCTGACAAGCCTCCATCTGACCTGGATGATGATGGCCTGGCCCGGATCCTGCATTTCAGTGATTCCAATGCCCTGGAGGAGGACGATGAGGAGGAGGGGGCACGGCAAGGGGGCGTCCCCCCTGGCATTGCCCATTGCCAGGATGACCCGGGCAGCTTCCCCTCCATGGACCTCTTTGGCACAGCAGCTGCCGGCTGCCCCAGCCACATGGCCAGCATCGTCTCTGACTGCCTGGATGAGAATGCCAACCAGGATGCCCTCTGCTACCTGGACGGCCTCCCCACCCAGCCGGCCGCAGGCGCTGGCTCCTGCTGTCCCCTCCCTCCCTCCACAGACCTGAGCCTGTCCTCTTCTGATTCCCTGGATCTTTTCCAGTCCTTCTCTGACTACAGCCTGGGCCCCTTCTATCCCTCGCCCAAGGACTCGGAGAGTGGGGACAACCTGTCTGTGCCGCAGCCTGCCTTCTCCCCCACCAGTGACCCCACCGCCTGCTTCCTGGAGTCCCTCATTGGCCTCTCGGAATCGGTCCCGGAGATGCCCGCCCCCTTCTCGGACAACCAGCTGCTGGAGGATGCCATTAAGTCATCCCTCATGGAAATGGTGAAGGTCTAAGAGCGACCACGTGGAGGGACGGCGTTGTCACTCAGGGACTAATGGAGTTCTGGCGGAGCTGAGCCAACTGTGCGTCTGTAGCTTGGCTGAATGGTCTGCACCCAAGTCCCTACGGGCTGTTGGTGTGATCCTGCAAGGCCAATGAGGCACACCTCTTAACCTATTTATTGCAAACTGAAGGGACGGGAGTGGTCACTGGAGCCTAAAATAATATAAGTCTTATTTAAACTGATCATATGTACCTCAGATGTATTAGGTGGACACGATGGTCCCATTATTTTTTTATTATAATACATCTGAATTTATTATTTTTTCCTTACTCTCTGTACAGAGGAGAGCATTGGAGGTACAGCGGGAGGACCCTGACTGCTAAGAGCCCCTTGTCTGAGACTCTGCGCCTCCTCAGTCCCCTCCATCCACTGGTTTTTAGGCAAGAAAAGGCCTTGATTTTGTTAAACACTTTGTCAGCTTTGCTGCCCCCATTTTAAAAATGGAGACTCGGAAAACTGCTGGGGCTGAATCAGCTGCTTCTTCAGCCAGATCACCTAGCCACCTTGCTTTCAGCAGGGCGGTCATCATCATCATCAGGGCCTTCGCAAGGTCACGGGCACCGTGTAGGGGCTGCGCACATAGGATGGCTGAAGGGCTTGTGACTCCTTTGGAAACTGAGTAAAGCTGTACAAAGCCTCTGTAAGTTATTTCCTGTAATTTATTTAGAAATTGATGAGGATTTGGCCCCGAGCCCCGAGGTGATCGGCTTGTACGGGGCTTGCCAGTGTCCGTCTGTCCTGCCATCTCCTGTCAAGAGCTGGGTTGGTCCAGAGAATCCAGAATCTGGAGGAGCTGTTGTGCCAGGGATGGGGACCTTCTGGGTTCCTGGGTGGCTGTGCTGCCCAGCCTCGGTGGGCAGTCTGTGCACATGTTTCATGTACGTGCTTGTATGTTCTGATCAGGGCCAGCCTTGAAAGGAAACGAGCCTGGACCCTCCCTCTGCCCCCACAAATCCCTACCCTAGCCAAGAAGGAGAAGTCATTGCTGAGTGAGCCATGGGAGGCCCTGTCCAGAGATCATCCCCATTGGATTGGTTTCCTTCCCACTGAGCCCCCTGAGTCCTGTGTTCCAAACATCCTTTTCTCTGTCCTTCCTTGGCCCACCAGCAATGTGACAAGGGGACAGAGAAAGAAGAGGAACCTAGGGGGTCTGCTTTGTGGACAAGGGACTGACCTGTGCATGGATCAGCTGGCCTAGAGTGGTGACTGGCCCGGCCTTCCCCAGCCAACCCTTACACCCCACCCCACCCTGGTAGATTTTATGTGATTTTCAAAATGTAAAGTAAACATTTTCCAGGCTGTAGCTCATTTTTTCTGTTTGCCAAAAATCGATGTTTCCTTCCTTGGTTGGGTCCTCAGCAATAGATGGAATGGGGAGTGTTCTGACCCTGCCCCAAAGGGGTTCTTGGGAATCAGGATCACTTGGGTTCAGCTATCCCTTGTATATATATATATGTCATGATTATTTTGCTTAAAGGTACAAGTAAAGAAAATGCTTTATTTTTAACAATTCTGTTTCTTCTGATTTGTCTCGCCAAAATAAAACCTCGAGGTTTGGGGATGGCGGCCATTTCCTGAGCCAGGCCTTGGGGGTGGCCTGCAGAGACAGCCACAGAGATGATGCCCGGGATGCCAGGTCATTCAGAGAAATACAGGCAAGAAACCCAGAGCCAGCTGGTGCCAGCTGCATCCTAGACCTGTTCTACAAGGTCCTTGGTTATCTGAAAGTCTGCCTCAGCACCCCTGCACGTGGGGAGTGGCCCCCCTGGGGTGGGGGCCACAGATACCTCCCCTGCCCAGTGGAAGCCCAGTTGGCCTAGCCTGGCAGGAACAAACCTGTTTGATCTCCCTAAAGGCAAATAGGTGACCGAAGAGTTGGTCAGTACGGGGAGGAATCACTCAAAGTCCCAACAGGAACATTTCTGTCACTTGAGAAACGGGTGTCCAGGCGCAGGCCCCAGACACTCTTTCTAAGGGACTCCTTTACAGATCAGGGGCAGGTAACCAAATACTCTGGCGGGGGGGGGGGGAAGACACACAAAGCCTCCTCATATACCAGGCAAAGGCCTAGCAGAAGTACAAGCTTGAAGGATGGACCTATTCCTTGCAGAGCTGATGGGGAATCTATCAGCCTCTGGGCTCCTGAACCCAAGGCCTTTTTTCCAAGCATCCTTTTCTCTGTCCTTCCTTTGATGGGCAGGAAAATCTGGCTTTCTCTACTGCTGCTGCAGCTCAGAGCTCTGGCTCAAGGCAGCTGCCCAGCTCAGCCTGCCCCAGGAGCAGGGATTTCAGGCCTGGTCCACCCTGCCGGCCTCTAGCCCAACCCTAAGAGGCAGGGATAAGTAGGAGATGGGGGTGGGATATGTGTGTGTGTGTGTGGCCCCAAGCTGGTGTGGTGTTATGGGAAGAAAGCCTGGGCTCATCCACGTTACTACCTGGGTGACCTTGAGCTGGTCAGTTGCCTTCTGGACCTCCGGCTTGGACTTTGAGCCTCTGCCCTTTTCCCTGGAAGGTTTGAGGCTGTGATCACCAGGGGGAGGGCTGGGAAGAGCAGGCTGGGACCCAAGCAGGGGGTCACAGAATCAAGGACTTCACAGCTCCAAGCTGAGGCTGCCAAACTGGGGAAACTGTTCTTAAGGAAAAATGGTGATCCTTACTTCAGTGAGATTGGTTTCTCTTTGTATCTTACACATTTTATACATTTAAGAACATGATTCTGAGAAGGGGTCCATGAGTTTAACCAGACCGCCCGAGGGGTCTGGGACACAGAAAAGGTTGAGTCTAGACTTGTCAATAGATGAGGAAGCTGACTCAGAGAGGGCGTGAGATTGCCTGAGGTTGCACAGCTACAAGGTGGGTGAATGTTTTTGTGTGTGGAGGGTCAGGTAAGGCTGCCAGGTGTGACCTAGCTGAGTCAATCAGCAAACCCTGATGAGGCCCTTATTCTGTGCCAGGTCCTGTGATAAGCACTGAGTTACAAAGAAAGGCAAAAATGACCCTTGCTCTCAAGGAGCTCACATTTTAATTGGGAAATTTGTTGTTGAATCGTTTTTCAGTCCTGTCCGACTCTTCATGACCCCATTTGGGATTTTCTTGGCAGAGATGCTGAAGTGGTTTGCCATTTCCTTCTCCAGCTTGTTCTACAGGTGAGGAAACTGAGGCAAACAGGGTGAATGACTTGCCCAGGGTCACACAGCTAGTAGGATTTGAACTTGGCGTGACTAAGTCTTCCTGGCTCAAGTCCCAGCGCTCTGTGGCGCCACTTAGCAGCCCCTAATTGGGAAGACCACCTGCAGTTAACCACATACAAGATAAAAGGTGGGGGAGGGTTATTGTGTGGACAAGACCTTCCATGGGACCGATGAATTATAGCTAGTGGCCACTTCCACCCAGTCTGGCGCTCCAGGACATTTTAATGTAATTCCCATAAACTGAAGCCTGGCTGGAGTCAATGAGCCTTCTGTAGGGAAGGCCCGGAAGGCTCGTGGGGTCCTGGCTCCCCCGCATCTCCAAGGGCAGAGGTTGGCCTAAGATGCCCCCTGCTCTCCCCGGGTGGGTGTGGGGCATCTCAGAGCATCTTTCTCTTCACCCCATGCTTTCCTGGCTTTGCCTGGCCTCCTGCCGAGGTCCCATCTTCCCAGAGGATGGTCCTTGTCCTGGACTGGCTGGGAAGGGCTTATTCCCAGCTTCTGGGGAAGGCCTGGTTCCTGTGTCCCAGATGGGAGCCTGGAGCTGGGTGGGCCTCTCTCCATTTTCCTCTAATCCCCTGAGGGGTCTCTCTGCCCTGGGAGCTCAAGACCTGGGCTTGGCTCTGTTTCCCTGGGGCCATTCCCTGAAGTCAGGTGCTCCTCTATCAAGAGGCCTGGAGGGGAGGCCTTGAAGGCTTCTCTGGTCCCGGCTCTCCCACCCTTCCTGCCTGTGGTCAGCAGGTCGGGGACCCAGGGCCTACAGTGAGGGCCTCTGTCGGCCTCCGCTTCCCTGGCTGCAAAATGGGGATTATGATAGCATTTACCTTCTAGGGCTGACATGAGGATCACAGGATAGAATAGGGGGACTAGACTATAGCAGGCCATGTACTAAGCTCTTCACAAGAATCTCATCTGATCCTCACTTGGACTATTATCCCCATTTTACCATTGAGAAAACTGAGGTAGAGGTTAAGTGACTGGCCCAGGGTCAGACAGTATCTGAGGCTGGATTTGAACTCGAGTGTTCCTGAGACCAGGCCCAACTCTGTGCTCATACAGTGCTCTGCAAACCTCAAGCACAATGTAAGTGCTAGCTAGCCATTATCTCTCCTTGGTGAATTCACTGGGGAAGGTGGCCAGCCAGGGAGTCTCAGACCTCTTCCTCCCAGATTACAAAGCCTCATTGGCTGGGGCCACGTGTCCTGGCTCTGCCTGCCTCAGTAGCTACCGATGGGGCCCAGCCTCTTAGGCCTTGGGAAAATGCTGGCCCCACACATGTTGATCAAGGCCAGTAATTCCTCTGGTATTTTGGCTCACCTGTTTTCTGGGCCGTAAGGACTTGGCGTTTTTTGTTTTGTTTTGTTTTTGTTTTTTTGAGCAATCGGGGTTAAGTGACTTGCTCTCGGTCACATGGCTAATAAGTCAGGTGTCTGAGGTCAGATTTGAACTCAGGTCCTCCTGACTCCTAGGCCAGCTTTAATGCCTTGTTAAGGAAAACTTTTGGACATCTCCTTTCCTTGTCCGTTGAAGTTCAAGTTCAATTAAACAAATGTTACTGGAGTGTTCTGCTCAGCAGTGGCCCTGTTACGTGGCTGATAGGAGCGATCCAGCCCCCGTTGCCTGCATTCCCCAAGGCCTCTAGCCTCACCTTCCTGTGCCTGGCCCAGCACCCTGCCCTGCCCCCTGGGAGCTCCTGCCCCCTGGGAGCTCCTGCCTCCTGGGAGCTCCCACCCAGCTGTGCTGTAGGAATCCCTGCCTGGGCTTGGCCCCATGCAACCTTGGGGTGTGAAGTCAGGCACACCCAAACAGACCCAGAAGGACTCAGGAAATGCTCCCCTTTCCTGTGCCCATTCCCTGGACCTCTTCTCACCCCTCTTCCTCCCACCCAACTTCCCAGGCTCCCTCAAAGTACTCCAAGTCTCTCCCTAGCTACGATGACCCACCTACTCCAGGGCACCAGTCCATTCCAATGTAATGATAGCCATCCTTTTATATTGCAGTTTAAGGTTTACAAAATGATGTGCAAGTTATCGCTGTTGGCAGGAACATTTTACCGGGGAGGAAACAAGCACAGAGAGGGTAAGCCACTTGTCCAGGGTCACACAGCTAGAAAGAGGCTGAACCACACCCACAGCTGCCCATATCTCCTCTCCTGCCTTCATTTCCTCCAAGTCCCAGCCAACATCAGCCTCGAGGTCACTTCCTGCCACTGGTCACCTGGCAGAGGGGAGAGGATCTTCTTTATAGCCCTGAAGCATCTTCTGCATCCGATCCTGGGGACCAGACCTGAGCAGGGGCTGTCTCTGTGGAGCACTGCTTCGCTCTGGTGGCGAACTCAGCTAATGACAAGTGAATTCTGCCTATGAGACCAGTGAGACATCTCAGATCATAGATTCTTCTCCTGGGATCCACAAGCCCCTTGAACTTGGATGGGAAACAATTATGTCTTCATTTTTGCTACTCTGGTTTCCTTTGTAAATCCTTTGCATTTCATTATTTTTGCATTTAAAACCATCATTCTGAGAAGCGGTCCATTGGTTTCACCTGAGGGGTCTCTGACATCAAAAAGATTCAGAAGTCCTGTAGCAGATAGTAAGATGTTACAGCTGAGAAGGTGGTCCAACACTTTCATATTTTAAAATTAAATTTTATTTTTTTCAATTAACAAGCATTTAGTTTCTCATTTGTTCTGAAGAAAAAAAAAAGGAAAAGGAAATCCTTCATAATAAAGATGCATACTCAAGCAAAGTAAATTCATTGGCCGTTATTGGCCATGTCCAAAAATGTATGCCTCATTCCGTGCCCTAAATCTACCACCTCCCTTTTAAGAGGTGGGCAGAAGGCTTTATCCTCAGTCTTCTGGACTAACAATTGGTCATCTCATTGACCAGAATTCTGAAGTCTTCCAAAGTTGTTCCAGGAGGCATAGGATGGAGTGGCCCCTGAGGTATCTTCCAACTCTGGCAGACTGATTCTGGACTACACCTGTCACTGGGACCTTTGAGAGCAAGTTTCTATTCCCTTCTCTGCGTCTCAGTGTTCTCATCTATAAAATAGAAGTATTAGAACCTTGTAAAAATAAACAACTTTGGAAGACTTAAGAATTCTGATCAATGCAAGACCACCCAGTCGATGCAATGACAGGGAGGTGGCAGATTTGGGGCACAGAATGAGGCAAAAGGTACGCTCGCATATTATTATGGTCAGGAAGTTCTGAAGGTCAGACACAGAGACATGTTTTACCTCTCCCCTGCCATGCCCATGCTTGTAGCACCAAGCCAGTTGGGCTTCCTGCTTCATGGGTCTATAGGGTTGTGCTGACATGTTTGTAAGGTGCTTTGCAAAGCTTAAAGTGCTATCTAAATGCTATTAATAGCTGTTGCTAACTATTACGAGCTGGACCCTGGTGGACAGCAGAGGAGAGAGGCCTGCACAGACCATGACCCAGAAGCAATGAGATGCATTGCTTGTAGTGACTGGCGCTCACCACAGACCCAACAAGAGCGAAGGAGGACTTCAGGCTACACTGGCTATAAGTGAGTTAACTCGATTAGAATCTTGCTTCTCTGGTGTATGAGTAAATGTAGTTTTTGTTTTTGTCTTTGATTTGCTTTGTTTTTATTAAGTAAATGAATTTCCTGATTCTCTGTCCCTCACAGTCAGCCAGATGGGAGAGGAAATGGACTTCCACTTGAGAGCTTGGATTTGCCTTGGGGGTTCCGGCTGGAAAGTGTTTGAGATGTCACATTTGATCATACAAGTGGCTAATGTTATCCTGATTCTGCCAAGCTTTTGCTAGTATAATTAAGCTGTTTGGCTATGACCTTGAGGTCTGATGACAAACTGGCTGAACCTGAGATAGGTGTGGCTGGACACAACAATGACAAGTTGTGATTGACAGGTACTCCTGGATGAAAACCCTGGGACATAGCAGTGAGGAATGGGGGTGGGGTGTTGTGCCTGGACATCTCTGGCCTTCTATTGACTTAGGAGAACCATATATTAACATCATCTATGTTCTGTTGTATTTTATTTATTTGGTCAAATACTTCCCAATTACATTTTAATCTGATTCTCCTTTTGGGCTGCAGTGGGGCCAGGGCAGGTAGGGGAAAGCAGGTCCCTTTTAAGGGCCCATGACATAAGTGCTATGGAATTATTTTAATTTTAAAAGAAAAATGAGAGGAAGTTGCCCAAAACATTTTACCAAACAGCCTAGATTTGGACTAGAAATAAGATGGATTTATCTTCCAGAAGGCTACAGGTAGAAGTGGTTCAGCCCACCCCCACACCCCAAATGGCTGCTTTCAAACGGAAACCGCCTGGCTCCTGGAGGGCCACTGCAAAAGCTTATGTTAGCTAGGAGTGCTCACTGGTGTGGGCCCCAGCCCTTCTGGAACTCTGCCCTAGGCCTTCCTTGGGATTCGTGATGGGGATCCTCAGCCCATCATGTTTTATCTTCCTTTATCTTGAAAGTCTCTTGGGCTCCCAAAGAAGCCCCACTCATCAGAAGTTGTCCTCTGTAGGTGACAGCCACCGGGACTTAGTTGGGGAATGTCCATCCTGTGCCCCAGTCAGTTTCCTGTTTGGGCCCACTCGTCCCTGGCACATGTACTCATTCTTATATGTACCTAGTTCATATCCTTAGCCAAAGGAAGGCATTTCTCATGATGGAATTTCAGACAGTGCGGCCTTTGGACTTCCTAAATATCCTTTCAGGGATGGTCTGCTCCACCTGTGTAGAAGGCCAGCCATGCCTTGGAGCACAAAGGGCCTATCTGTAAGGAAGCTTTGAGGGCTGAAGCAGGCCCCAAGAAGCAGCCCCAGATACCTTCCCTCCTTTCAGAGGTAAGGAGGGCTAGTGATCAGCACATGAGGCCTGGCTCCAGCATTCTGTGCTGGCTTTACAGCCCAAGGCCCTCTCTGTTACACTACCTGACAGGTTCTTACAAGATCTCAAAGCCTACCTTTCTCCCTGCCGAGGCTGGCTGGGCTAAGTCCTCTGGGCTGTAGAAAAGAGGGGCTGATGCCATCTCCAGCAGGATGGTTTTATCCCGACCCCTGTGGCTCACCACAGCCCTGGCAGTCACCATGATCCAGGGACCTGGTGCTCAGCAGCACTGCTGGAGCCTGGCTTGGGGGCATCTTGGAAGATGTTTGGAGACGTGGCTGGCTTCAGTGCGCGTGGAGGCTTGCTGGCCTCTGCGGCCCCGAGGACTTCAGACGACCAACAAATTAGGAATTTTCAAGGACGCAGCAAAGTGAGTCCTGGACTGTACGTGATTTGGGACCCACTTCTTTTGTGTCAAAAAAGAAAAGATAAAGTGACCTCCCCCTCAGGTTGGCACTGATAAGTAAACTCTTCGTCATGGGCAGGTCACTGATGAGCAGTGTGGAAACAGTCCTGGACCGGGGACCAGAGAGATGCAAGTTTGAATCTTGCCTCTGGCATTTGCTGCTGTGAGACCAGGACAGTCCTTTTTTTGCATCTGGAAGATGGGGACAATAATCCTCCCGCCATCTTCCTCACAACAGCAGAAGCCACTGTTCAGGACACGTGAAGGAGCTACAGAAACCCAAGTGATTGTCATTGACAGACAACATGGCAGGAATTAGGGAACTCTAGGTAAAACAAAAACACAGATGGGAAATTCAGAAGTCAGGCTTCTGGTCCTAAAGTGTTCCTCAAAGCCGTGTGGTAAAGCAGGACCTTGGAAAGCAAAAAGGTGGAGTTGCTTTTTCCTGGAAGGTTGTTATTATTGGTGGGTGGGGTGGGGGAGGGCTGGCCGAGGGCTAGGCATCTGATAAACTATAGCCAGGACCAACAGCGTGGGTCAAGCCGCCACATCTGGAAAGCCCTGAATCATTTTCAGAGGGTCCTCGAGCTACGGCAGGAAGAAACCTCAGGGAGCCATCAACTCCACTGCCTGTTTTACAGATGGGGAAGCTGAATCCCAGGGAGGTATCTTGAGTCATGCAGGTAAAAAGATCAGTGGCAGCAGGTGGGTTCCCTGAATCTAGAGCTGGGCTCTGTCCCCTGTACCATGCTCCTTTTGAATAATTAAGCTCTGCCGTGTATCATAGGACGTTAGACCTAGAACCTTGGAGGGACCTTGAAGCCTCTCTGATTCCTTATATGGAATATATAGATAGGATTAGATAAGGTAAGATAAGATAATAGGGTTTGATAAGGAGACAGGCCCAGACAGAGCTTGCCTGTGAATGAGAAGCAGATATACATATAGCATGTGCACTGCCTGGCCCTCTGGCCAATGATCTCTCCACTACAGCAGGAGATCTCCCTTTCAGCTGCCCTAAACATGGTCCCTGTACATGAGGGGCCCCTAAAGTACGGACCCATCAAAGCATGCCTTCATCACATCCTCATCACATCGTAAATGGGAGAGGCATAACACATACACATCATGTCCACACATCATAGACACGCAAGCGTATCCCAAATGGGACCCCGAATCAAGACTGCCAAAAAACGTTAATTAACACCCCATAATAAACACTAATTACATATGCAACTCACAATCGTTTTATTTGTCTTCTCAGTCTTTAGGAGCCATTTGGATGGAAGGTTTAATGGTCCCGTTTTCTGTTTAGGGAAGTCTGACCTGCTTAAGTGACTTTGCAAAGATTACACATCTGGCTAGCAGCAGAGCCAGGACTGATCCCTGCCCTGACCGCCAATCCAAGGTCCTGTCCACTACCCTGCCCTAGCTTCCTTAGCAGCATCCTATCAAACACACGCCCCACACGTTGGTGAAAGAAGGCAACCAGGACAGTGGGCACACAACACATGCAAACAGCTCATGGCTGGGGGAGTCTCCCTTTTCCCTACGGCCAACAGAGGTGCCAAGTTCATTCCGAGGGCCAACAGATATATGTGTGTGTGTGTGTGTGCGCGCGCGCATATATGTATGCATACATGTAAAATATATAACATATATAAAACATGTTATATAAATATAACATATATAAGACACACACACACGTGTGTGTATGTGTGTGTGTGTGTGTAACTCACTGTTGCCTTAAGCTATCCAAAGGACCCGAGCACATAAGGGGTGAAGGTTTGGAGAACAGAGTTTCAGTACTGTCCTTTGGTTTAATCTCCCCTACTTCCCCAGCCTCAGCCCCCAACAACATTCTGGCACAGAAGGTCAGGGCCGGGCTAGGGGAGGAACGGTGGTCACACGTCTAAGCCCAGCCACCCTTTAAGCCAGGCCACAGCCCATCAGGCTTTCCTGTTACAACACTGCCCCTTTCAGTCTTGGCCTGTGCAGGCCTCCAGTGGTCGGGAGCTCCCTGACCTCGGGGGCAGCCTCTGTGCTTCTGGACAGCTCTGACCGCCCTGACATACAGCCAGCAGTCACTTCCTTCTTTACAACTCTTCCCTCATCCTTGTAGTTCTGCCCTCCGGGGCCCTCTCCCAACCAACCACCCCTGGCACACTTGGAGACAGCTCTGGCGTTTCCCCATCTGCCTGGCCCTGCTCCGAGGTTCAAACCCCCTTTCTTTCTACTGAGTCTCAGTCCTCAGATCATGCTGGTTGAGTTGATCTGAGGTGAACAGCCCACTGGAATAATTTTTCTCCCTCTTCCATTGTTAGGAAGGAGTGGATGAGAAGGTGGTACAGGTATTGAATGGACAGGGGGCACGTTAGACCAGGGGCTGCCTACATTTTCTTTCTCTGTTACATTTCCAGACATCTCACACTTGGAGCACATTCTGGACATCATAGATAAAGTATTTTGAGAGAGGTCCTGAGTGTGAATCCCAGCCCTCTGATTTGCTCCCTGGGTGACCTTGGACAAATCACTTAAACCTCTCTGGCCTCTGGTTTCCTCAAATGAAAAAGGAGAGTGTCGGACCAGATGACCAGATAAAGGTCTCTCCCCTCAACATCGATGACCCTGTGACCACATTACAGATCAAATGCAAGAAATGACATGAAACTTTGAATTTTTGCATCCTAGAGTATGAGGAGACCTTAGGGGATTATCTAGTCCAATATCTCCTCCTCTCCTCTTTTTCTTCCTACAGATGGGTAAACTGAGGCCCATAGAGAGAAAGGGACCTAAAGCTCCAGGTCAGAGAGTCAGGTCTCTTTACTCTAATCCTGTGATTTCCAAAATAAAAGGTTTAGATCTTCTAGTGACCAATTCTTTTTTTTTCACCTAGTGGAAAATATACCCGTATTTCGCTATTAAAAAACAACACAAGACAACAAGACCAACGAGGTATGGAGGGCAGAAAGAGAGCGATCATGTGGTCTTCAACATTTACAATTCTGATGGTGTGGGCACCCCCAGAGCAGCCTCGATGGGGGGAGGCCCTGTCTTGCTCCTTCCAGCAAGGTCTCTGCATACCCCAGCCCCCACCTTCCTCTAGGCCGGCCCCGTCCAGCAGGAAAAGCGTCCATTTCAGTGCCTCCTACTGGTCCTCAGGGCCCAGCCCGGCTCCAGCTAGGGCCGCAGGGACCCCTGCGCCTTCTCCAGAATGTCTTCTCTGATCTTCGGGTAGTTGGGGTGCTCCTTCAGTACCTGGGGACCAAGGGACGGGGAGCCACCATCAGTGGGGGTTCGCCCACTGGGCCAAAAGCAGGAATTGGTCTTAGGTCAAAGAGGCAGCTTACGCTGTGGCAAACCTCGATGGCTTCTACAAATCTTTTGTCTTTTAGGTAGTTGAAAGCAAGTTTGAAACCTGTAGAAGAAAGTGCAAGTGACTGCCTAGCACTGCTGGTCACCAGGAACCATCCACAGTCTCCACCAGCCCGCCTTCCAAGCTTTGTGTGGCTCCTGGAGGACTCGGGCCATCAAGACCCAGCCCAGCCCAGCCAGGCCCACTTGGTCCAATCCAGCCCAGCCCAGCCCAGTCCAGCCAGGCCCAGCCAGGCCCAGCCAGGTCCAGCCAGGCCCAGCCAGCTCCAGCCAGGCCCAGCCCAGCCCAGCCAGGCCCAGCCAGGTCCAGCCAGGCCCAGTCCAGCCAGGCCCAGCTTGGTCCAATCCAGCCCAGCCAGGCCCAGCTTGGTCCAGTCCAGCCCAGCCAAGCCCAGTCCAGCCAGGCCCAGCCAGCTCCAGCCAGGCCCAGCCCAGCCATGCCCAGCCCAGTCTACTCCAGCCCAGACAGGCCCAGCCCAGTCCAGTCCAGCCCAGACAGGCCCAGCCCAGCCCAGTCCAGTCCAGCCCAGCCCAGCCAGGCCCAGCCCAGCCAGGCCCAGCCCAGGCCAGTCCAGCCCAGACAGGCCCAGCCCATGCCAGTCCAGCCCAGACAGGCCCAGCCCAGCCAGGCCCAGCCAGCTCCAGCCAGGCCCAGCCCAGCCCAGCCAGGCCCAGCCCAGTCCAGTCCAGCCAGGCCCAGCCCAGCCCAGCCAGGCCCAGCCCAGTCCAGTCCAGCCAGGCCCAGCCCAGTCCAGTCCAGCCCAGACAGGCCCAGCCCAGCCAAGCCCAGCCCAGTCCAGTCCAGCCCAGCCCAGTCCAGTCCAGTCTAGCCCAGCCAAGCCCAGCCCAGCCAGGCCCAGCCAGCTCCAGCCAGGCCCAGCCCAGTCCAGCCCAGCCTGCTCCAGCCAGGCTCCTCTGATGGTGGAGAAAGCTGCCGGCTGCTCAGACTCCTCAGATGAGTGCGGGGCAGACCCCAGCTGGCGGCTCACCAATGGAAGGGTTGGCCCGGTTGCCGTACTTCCATGCCAGCTCATAGTTACTCGCTGCATCCTTGTAGGACTGCTCCTTCTCCATGATGAGGCCCATGTACTCATAGGCTTTACAACATGACTGCAAAGACAGCACCTGTTACAGCTGGGAGGCTGGGCCTGCACTTGAGGGTCTGCAGGGAAGCAGTAACTTTGACCCCAGAAGCCTGGGTTGGGCCGGGAGTGGGGAGGGGCCTCAGAGACAGTCTAGTCTAAGCTCTTCATTTGACAGAGGCAGAAACCATGGGCAGTGAGTTCCTGGCTGGGACCGGAACCCTGGCTTTCTCACCCTTGTGCTCTCCTGGGAGGCTCCTAGCTCTGACCCTAACCAGCTATAGGGCCTTGGGTAAGTCACACTTTCTTTTCGGTTTCCAGTTTCCTCATCTAAGGTGATGCCTGACCCTCTTTGCAGGCATGTGATTTGGATCAGTGGGAGAGGAGATGGGAGTGCTTAGAAATCTCCTAGGCAAGAAACAGCCCCCTGGGACTCCCCCTGTGCCCCCCACTTTAAAGGCGGCAGTGTGTTGTCATGAGCAGGGAGTTGACCTTAGAGCCAGGAAGACCTGAGTTCCAGTCCCTTCTCTGACCTGCACTGGCCGAGTGACCCTGGGTACATCACTAGGCCTCTCAGAATTCTAAGCGGCCCTGGGAGAGGGCGTTTCCCCCTCTGTCAGTGAGGTCCCAGGTCAGACTCCTTTACCAGGCCCGGAGCTGAAGGCCTGTCACTCTCCTCCTCAGGCAGGCGGGGCCCAGCCTACCTTGTTGTACTGGACACAGCGGCGAAGCAGCTCAGAGGCAATGTCAAACTTGCCACTTTGGCAGTACACGTCCGCCAGGAGTACCCAGCTCTTCTCCAGGTCCTCTGCATCGGCCAGGGCCCAGGGAGCTTTGGCCAGCCTTTTGAGCTGAGTGCGGGCCTTGGGGGTCTGCTTCAGGATCATGTAGGCCTGGGCCATGGCCAGGAGGGCTGGGACACTTTCTTTCTGGAAAAAAAAAACAGTTCCCAATGGCCTGATGCCACCCCATCCAGAGGATCCAGGGCCCTGGCGACACACCACGTGGCTTTCTTTGCCTCACAGGAGAGGGCAGAGCTGCCCAACACCCACTCCCACTCCTAGGCTCGGGGTTGTCAGCTGAGACCCTCCACGGCCCCTGGATGAGTCAGGTTGGGGCTGCCAAGACTGTCCTCACTGCCCCACCCTGGGCAACAACCCCTCCTACAAACCTTCCCCTCATAATGGAGCCCCCCTGACCCAGCATGCCATGGCTGTGCTCTGAGTAACTTCAGGCCATCCTTCAGAACCCAGGCTGCTAACTCTCTGTGCCCAAAGGACTGCACCTCTCTGACTGTGGAAAGCCAGGTGGGCAGACACCTCCCGTGCCAGCTGAGGGCCAGCTTCTCCTCCGGCTGGGCCCAGGGGCATCAGCACTCCTGTCTAATCTCTGGGCATCGTAGACCCACCAAACAGTTCAGAGAGCCCTACGCTCACAGAGAGCAGCACCCGCACACATGTGTGCACACACACATGCGCACACGCACACATACTCATGAACAGTGCACATGCATGCACATGTATGCACACACAACCACAACGCACACATACTCGTGCACATGTGTACACACATGCACATGTACGCACACATATGCACTCACGCACACACACACACGCACACTCGTGCACAGGCACACGCCCAGAGGACTGCTGCTCCAGACGTCTAGTGGTTCTTTGGTGACCTTCGGTACCAGAGAGCACAGGACATTAGCTGCTTCTGGGATGGAGGGCAGACACTTCCAGGGAAGAGGAAGACTGAGTGTGGACAGGCTTGGCAGCTTCAACCTGCTGCCATGGAGGGTCTCCCAGGGGCCCCGCCTCTAGAGGACCCGGGAATGCCACGTGGCAGTGGCCCCAGTGGCTCCTCCCGTGACCAGGCCAGGGCACGGGCCGAGTCTGGGACCCTGGGCCCTGGACGGGCAGGCACTTACTTCCATCTGGGCCATCTCAATGAAGGCCGCGAGGGCCGTCTCCACATTGGTCTTCTCTTTGGTGGCCAGAAGGCAGTAGCTCTGCAGCATCTTCAGCTGGTCCTGCCCCTCTTTGTTGTGAGGGTAGAACTCCCGTAAGAGCTTCTCCGCAGTGCGTACCCCATGCTGCTCAGACTCCTTCTTCTCAGTGGAGCTGGTGGGGAGTGAGAAGGAATGGTGCCCATGGACACCCTCGTGCACCCGGAGAAGGCCCTGCCCTGGGGCTGCTGTGCTGTCCGCAGGATCCAGCTAGGTCTGCCCCTAGTGGAGCCAGCTGGCCTGGGCTGGGGCCGAGGGGCTGACCTCCCGGGCTGGGGCCGAGGGGCTGACCTCCAGGGCTGGGCTCAGTGACTCCTCTCCTGGGCTGGGGCCGAGGGGCTCCCCTCCCGGGCTGGGGCCGAGGGGCTGCCAGCCAAAGGGTCACCTGTTCTCCATGGTGAAGGTCTCCAGCGCCTCTCCTCCCATGATCTCATTGTCCGGGTTGAGGCAGATCTGCACCATGTTGTAGGTGGCCCTCTGGCCCCAGTCACTGTCCTTGCGGGCTTTGTTGAGATACTTGAGGGCTTCATTGGGCTGTCCAACGTGCCTGGAGAAGAGGGCAGGAGCAAGAGGCACTGACTGGCAGTGCCAGGCCATGATCCAGTGCTTCCCTGAGTGCTGGGCAGCAGACCCAAATCACCTCCAACAATACCCTGTGGGGCTATGGTCTTTATTATTATTTACCTATGGACTGCTCTGGCGAGTCTGAGCCCTTTACTGGACAAACACATGCCACTCCCATGCTGGATTTCTCCCCCTAGGCTGCATGTCCCAGCCTCAGTTTCCCCATCTAGAAACCTGGGCTCGAGTCCTGCCTTCTGACACATCCTGGCTGGGCGACCACGAAGTCACTTCTCAGGACTCCCAGGGATGATGGTGCCAGCCGGCATTGGTGGAAGGAACATCTCACCTGGGAGTGCCTTCTTTTGGTAAAACTCCAGGCTCTGACCTTACCCCTTATCCCGACTGAGGTAAGAACCCCACAAGGTTGTTCTAAGGAAAGTGCTTTTAAGTTCTGAAGGCAGACAAATAATGGGCTACTTGATGGAGCTGGGAGGGACCTCAGCAATTATTCAGTCTGGTCCCTTCCTCTTACGGATGAAGAAACTGAGGCCCAGAGCCACGAGGAGATTTGTCCAAGGTCCCCCAGGCAGCATAGGTGGCTGCCAAGCTGGGACTAGAACTTGGATCCTGGGAGGTCAAGGTGAGTGTCTTTTGTGCTGGGGACTCTGAAGAGACTGGTTATGGCTCTGGGCATCATGGCCTGCAGTCTTTGCCTCAAGATCGAGGGCCCAGCTCAGTGCCCTGCACACAGGAGGGGTACAAACGGGTTGGACTGTGAAGATGACAGGACAATGAAGGGCTGGGGCTCTGGCCAGCTCAGGCAGAAGATAAACCACTGAGTGGGGAAAGAGGGCCCAGGGAGCATTAGAAGTCGGCAAGGGATTATCGGTTTGAAGAGATGCCCAAAAGCCACCGGTGGATTGTCCCATTCAGGGGTACAGCAAGGAGAAGGCACCCCTGTTCTGGCCCTAGCCCCTGCCCCAGCAGGCTCGGGCTCAGCTGGAGGGAACAGGAGAAGCCAAGAGAAGGGGGCAGCCTCGAGGCTACCGAGAACCTTGGCCTTGAGCCTGGCTAGCGGTCTAGGGGTGGGGGCTGCAGCCAGCCAGCACTAGAAAGTGAACAGAGGCTGCGTAGTGACCACCCCTGCCCCAGCCCCCGCCCAGGCCAGAGACCCCGGATGGAAACATACCAACAATATATGCCTTTGCAATAGTTAAAACCTGGCTCCAGCGAGATCCGACTGGATACTTTCTTGGACAGCTCAAAGAAGGCTGGGGCGTCCTCAAGCTTCCCGCTCCGTCTTAGCAGGTCGATCAGTTTGTTCAACACTGAAAAATTGTCTTAAACAAGAAACAAGAAGGGAAGGGCCACCATGGCTGTCAAGGCCTGAGACTCAGCATCCTGGGTCACGGGGTGAGGGGATGGGGGATGGAGAAGGGGAGCCCCAGCCGGGGCAAAGCTCCAGGGCTCACCCTGGTGAGGGTGGCATGGTACAGTGGAACAAGGACCAGATCTGAGGTCAGGAGCCCTGGCTTCAAATCCTGCCTCTTACTGCCTAAGAAAATTTGGGCCAACCACTCAACGAACAGTTTTCTCACATGTAAAATGAAGGGGTGAACTAGACAACCCTGAAGAGCACCCTAGCTCTGCATCTTGGATAACCGATATTGAGTTGCTTACTGTCTCCAGATGGGGAAGGGAGGACACGACCTGTCTCCCTCCAAGGAAGACCCCGGGAAGACCCCCTCTCCCTCTCAGCTGCACTCTGCATTGTGAATCATATTGTAAACATGACTTTCGGGCTGGGTGGGGAGTGGGGGGAGTTGACTGCACTGGTCCAGCTCCCCCTGCTGCTCTGTTCTTCATCTCCCTTTACTTCCTGGCCTGGGATGTTCCAAGTGGCCTGACCCTCCTCAGGCCCCTCTCAGGGCCCTGCTTCCATTCCCAGGCTCTCTAGTCAAAGGGCCACATGGAGAAGCCAAGTGATGGGAAGGGCACTTTCTATCTACTCATTTCTATCACCTTTCCTGGGTGTGTGTTTGTTTGGACAGAGGGAAATCAGAAGGACTCAGGCAGAAGGGAGAGAGCCCTGGGAGGAGGATTGGGAGGTCCCCTTTCCCACTAGTTAGCTGTGGGGCCTTGGGGAAAGTCTATAACTTCTCTGGGCCTCAGTTTCCCCTGCTGTCACATGAAGGAGTCAGGCTGGGTGGCCTCTGACAGCCCTTCTAGCTCTCCCATTTTGTGTCTGTGAATGGGGATTGTTTATTCTGGAGAAATGAAGACAGCCATGGCCCAGTGTTTTGAGGCTGGTGACCATCAGCTGTGCTGCTGCAGCAAGAGCCATGGGTGAGAAGAGAGGAGGGTCAGAGCAGGCCTTACTGGCCACTGGCCAGGGAGGAGGGCCTGTCTGCACACCCTGCTGACTTTGGAGATGCTGCACGTCACTGCAGAACGCTGGCCTGCGTTTTTAAGGATTTGTGAGGGACAGGAGAGCTGAGATGGGGGGTCTTGTAGAGAAAGAGACCCCAGATGGGCCTGGCATGGCAGACCCTACTTCTGATGGCTGATCCTGGCAGGGAGGGGCAGCCAATCCTGCCCTAGGGAGAGGCCAAGTCCCAGGAAGCAAAGCAAAAGAAGGCCTTTGGGCAGAGCTGGGGGCACCAGGTCATAGTGAATTCTCTTAGGTGACAGATGGGTCTCCAGGAGGCACCATGCAGTCTCACTACAGTTGGAAGTGAATGGGCCGGGCCCCTGAGATTACCCAGAGCTCAGTATCAAGCCCAGGTCTCTCAGCTGAGCTCCAGCCCCATCACCAGGGACCTGATGGCTCTCTGCACCCAGAAGTCAGGTAGGCAGCTGCCACAGAACACGTCTAAAACCTGGCTCGTTCTGTCTCCCCCCAAACCTATTCCTCCTATGTCTTCATGAGAGCGATGGGGAGTGAAGCAGGTTAAATTCGGACATGGTAACTCTGAAGTGTTGATGGGACATCTGGGGGGAGATTCCTAGGAGCTGGCTGGAAATGCCAGATGCATTCAGAGGAGACTGAGGTAGGATCCATGATCTGGGAGCCGTGTGCACAGAAGTGACAACTCCATGAGCTAAAATGCCCTGAACCATTGCTCTAGAGCAGGCAGGTGCTTTTACAGATGAGGAAACTGAGGCATGAAGCAGTTAAACGACCTGCCAAAGGGCACATGACCAATAGGTTTCAGGGGCTAGACTAGAATCCAGGTCCCTTTCGGTCCCAAGTCCAACATCCTTTCTGATACATGAGCTGCTTCTCTCGGTTTTCAACAGAAGCTGGTGGAGGACGCGCATCCCTAGAACATTTTCAGTGACAGGGAACTCCCTACTTCCCAAGGAAGCTCTAGCTGTTAGGAAGCTTCTCCCCACAGAGAGGTGAATGGACCCCTGGACCTTCCCCCATTCCGTGCCCTCTACGACCACGCAGGCCATGCCTGACCCCTTTCCACAGACTGGAGGAGAGTTATCACTTCTGCCCTTCCTCTTGTCTTTTCCAGCGTAGGCATGATGATTTCCTCACCCGGCCTTGTATGGCACAGGTTTGACGCCCCCTCACCATCCTTGGTGCCCTCCTCTGGATGGGCTCTAGTCATCCACGTCCCTCTACGATGCTTGGGATGCCCAGAACTAAAGGCTATGATCATCTGGATGAGGGCCCAATGCAGGGGGCTGCTGCCTACTCCCTGTGGACCTTCAACTCCCACAGGCTTTGGGGGATTCCCTCGATCCCTTGAGAAGGAATTCCAATCTCTGTTTTACAAATGGAAACTGAGGCGTATGTCCAGGGGGGTCCAGGCATAGGAGGTACCTCCAGGACTGGTGCCCTGGGCCAGGTGAAGAATGGACTGGGGGAAGGAAGGGCCTGGCTCGTTACCTGGGGCCTTTTCAAGAACCTGACGGTACAGATTGATAGCAGCATCATATTTCTGTTTTCTGAACATCAGGTCTGCCATCATCTATGGGAGAACGCATATACCTTTCAGCTTTCATTTCAACAGCTGGGAGAGCCCCATTGGTAACGGAAGGCCAAGAACACAAGAACGTAAGCCCTGAGTGCTGGTGGGCAGAAGCGGCCCCCAGCCCAATGCCTCCACCCCTCCCTGCCGCTTTCCTGCGGCCACAGCTGGGGATCTCTCTTGCGGCCTGGGGGGCCTCCAATGGAGGTCAGAGGGAGGCCCTGGGGAGACAGTGCAGTCCCAGAACAGCTGGAGGACCAGCTCTCTATCCCCGACCTCCTCCCCGTGCTAATGCTGAGATCGCTGCAGTCAGGGCCCGGGTGTCCAGGCTCTTTGTCTCCTTCCTTCCCCCTCCACTCCCTTACCTGAGGCTGGGCAGGGGGAGGGACCAGGACTGGGGGCAGAACTCATAGCAGTTAGAAATTCTGAAACGGGCCTGCTGGTGAAGGCAGAGGCAGAGGAAGTGGGGCTGTCATGAGACCTTTGGATTTAACTGTCTGTGGATTTAATTTACTCTGAGGCTCCTTTAGCCGCCCTGCCCCATCGCTGGGCACGCCTCCCAGCTGGGGAGGGTGTGGCTAGAGGGCCCCTGGGGGAGCACCCCAGGTGTGTGTGTGGGGACCGCATGGACCGCTACTTGCCTACTGGGTTTTTTTTTCCCCTTATGGGATATCCCTTTTAAGAAACACGGGGAAAAAATAGCCAAGAGATCTTTCGAGTACACCCCCTGCCTCTGCCTGGCGTTGCCTCCTCAGGCTGGAGAGGGAGCCCCGGGGCCCTTACCACGCAGGCAGTCTCGTGGCTCTGGTCACTCTGCAGAAGGACAGCGCAGTGATGTTCACAGGCATCCAGGTCCCCCTGGATCAGGTACAGCTGAGCCAGCTCCAGCATCACCTGGAGAGATAAGCAGTGGCTTGGCAGGCTCCCTCGCTGGCCAGTGCCAGGAGGATTCCTTCACCCGCATCGGGATGGGCGAGGCCAGGCTCATTGTGTTGGGAATTCTCATCTGTTACTCGGCACAGTGGGGGGGGGGCAGCTGGAGCTTTTGGAGCCTCAGTTTCCTCAACTGTAAAATGAGAGTGTTAGGCTACACAACTTCTAAGGTCCCCTCCGCTCCCAAATCCGTGATCCTAAGATTTAGTAGATGGGTGCCCAGATGTTGGTCATATGTGCTCATCTGTAAGATGGGGACAAGAATATTTATACTTTTACAGGGTTGTTTTCAAGAAGTAGGGGGGCCATACGGTTCCCTCCAAAGAATTGGCGTCTGTGTCTCTCCTTCTCCTCTTTTTTTTTTTGGGGGGGGTGTGAGGCAATCAGGGTTAAGTGACTTGCCCAGGGTCACACAGCTAGGAAGTGTCAAGTGTCTGAAGCCGGAGTTGAACTCAGGTCCTCCTGACTCCAAGGCCAGAGTTCTATCCACTGCGCCATCTAGCTGTCCCTCTGCTCTCTCTTTTAAGGGCCATCCCCAAGAATGTGACTCACATATATCCAGATATGATTCAAATAATCGTCCTAAAAAGACCCATCAGAGTCTCAAATGTGCCATCAGGGGATGGTTATACTCTCCATAAAGAGACCTCTCCAATCAATCCTTCAATTAGCGCTTGTTAAGCACCTACTGTGTGCCAGGTCCTGGGGATACAAAGGCAAAAATGATCAGTCTGTGCTCTCCAGCTTCCATTCCACCGGGGAGAGAGACAGTGTAGACTCAGAAGTGTGGTGGGGCATCCCCAAGGAGAGCTCGGAAGCTCAGGCCCTGGAGCCCTGAGAGGGGGCGGAGCAGGGGCTGCCCTAAGGCTCCCCGAGCAGAGGGCAGCGAGCAGAGGGCAGCGTGCACATTGTCTGGTTTGTGCGGGGAGCCTGTGATGTCACTGATGTACCCTGGGGCCTGGCCTGGGGGGGAGCGGCATCCTAGGTCTTTTTGACCACAGGAGCAGCTCTCTGCCCCTCACACTCCTCCGGCTCCCATCTTGAAAACATGGAATATCACTACAAGGCAATTTGGGACAGGCCTTCTCCTCGAACCCTGTTCAAGCCTGATGAGGCTCCTCCTGGGCAGTCTTCCTGCCCAGTCCTCTGTAAAGGCCTGGGGTCCAGCTTTTTGCTCGCAGGGACAGTTTGCTGACCTCCCCCTTCTTCCCTGGACTGTTCACCCCTCCTCCCATTGAGTGAGAACCACAGACATTTGGATTGGGCTTCACACTTCTCTGCTTGGGGCCTCCCGGCACGTAGGAGCTCTCCCCACTCAGCACCCCATCGCTCCCGGCTCTGGCTCAGGAGAACGTTTCACCAGCCAGGACCCTGCTGGGGCTCCTCAGTCACCTGGGTTGAAGTGTCAAACCCTCTTCAAAGGCACTACGCTCGTCATCGTCACCCCACTTCCATGGAGGGTACACAAGGACGCCAAGCGTTCGGAGGGCCTTTATAAACAGCATCTGAGCGCAGGAACACATGCGGTGAGACCCCCAGGGGTGGCTTTCTGCGCAGGGCAGGGCGCTCCTCAGGCCCCAGGTCTCTGCCTTCACCCAGCCTGGCCTGTCCTCACATGCCCTTAGCAGGTACCCCTTGGGCATCCCTGGGCAAGCCAGACTCTCTTTAGAACCCTGCTTACTGCCTGTAGGGCAAATGCCTGGGGCTTGTAATGCCCTCCGCAGTCTAGCACCACCGACCTTCACGCTAGTCCCTCTTACGACTCCCCACGCTTGACTTCGACTCTTCTGTCTGTACTTTTGGTGGGTGGTCCTACAGTGCCTTTGCACTTCACTGTCCAGGCTCTACTGAGAGGCTGCCTCCTACAGGAAGCCCTCCCAGAATGCCCTACTTGTGAACCCCCTCCCCTTCCTGAAGTGACCTGGTGTTTACTTAGGTGTTTACATAGCTTAAACCCCCCAACTACCCCTCCCAGGCTCCCCTTCCCCCCAGTACAGGGTCCTCAAGGCTGGGATCGCTTTAGTCTTTGCTCTCCAGCACTTGGCACAGAGCCTGATAAATGCTTGTTGAATTGAATTGAGTTGAATTGACTTTCTAAAATCAGTCATTCAAAAAAAATTAAATCCAATCAAATCAGTCATTCAGGTCAGTCAATAAGCATTGAGTGCTTTACCACGTGCCAGGCCTTGGGGACTCAGAGAATGGCCTTGGGCCCACTGGGCTGGACGCACTTGTCCGCCGTCCCCCCAGGAATCCCATCACTGGGGGATCTCCCCATTCTGCAGTGACCTCTGCCCCTCTGACTGGGCGGCAGAGCCACAACTCCAAACCACCGAAGGAGGGGGCCAGGCCAGCCCCAGCTGTGCGCTAGAACCTCTTGGGACTTCTCCGTCCGGTTGGTGCCTTCTCACTGCCCCTCCCCCTTCGGTGGGTTGGGCTCCCCCAGGAGAACGTAGGCTCCATGACGGCAGACCCCGTCTTATTTGAATTTGAGTTCCCAGGGCTTAGCTTGGTGCCCGGCAGATAGAAGGTGCTTAATACCTTCAGATGACATTCTAACGGGAATACCAGGGCCAGCCTCCGGGATACATAGAGTCAATGGAAGGTGATCTGAGAGGGGAAGGCCTCCCAGGAATTCCCAGGGTAGGCTCTGATTGGCTGGTTCAATCACATTCAGAGGACATTTTTTCCTACACAAGAATGCTGTCTAGAATTCCAAGGAAAGTCATTTCATTATGGGGGAAAAAAAAGCATTGCAAATACCACCTTTCTATTTCTGGCCCTTGTGGAAGGATTCCAGGGAACAAATGAGGACTAACTGGAGGAGAAGGGACAGGCCCTTCCCAGCTCTGGCCCCAGCCCCAGAACTGCTTAGGGCTCTTGGCAGAGCCCAAGGGGCTCCGGCCGCAGCCCTTACTCACCTTGTTGTCTATCGGGGAGTAGGACAGGGCGTCCTTGTAGGCCTTGACAGCCTTGGGGTAATCCCTCTCGGAGAGGTGCTGCTCCCCAAACTGGGCACAGATCCAGGAGGCCAGCTGCTTCTGGGAGGGGAGCACCTCAGGCTGCTCCAGGGGCACCCGCTTCAGTACCCTCCACTGAATGTCCAAGGCCTGCAGGGACCATCAGGGCACACTCAAATGCCGGGCACTGACCTTGGCACCCCGGGTCCACTCAGTCACCCCCTCCATGTGCCTGCCAGCGGAGTGGTGGGCCATGGTCAGAAATAACAACAGGAGATGACATTTCTGGAACAGTCACAGAGCACTCTGCACACACGATCTCATTCACGCTCACAACAGCCCCGTGAGGGAGGGGCCCTCACTGTGCCCATCCCGTGGAGGAGGAGGATGGCAACAGAGAGGTGGAGTGACTTGTCCGGGGTCACCCAGCTAACAAGTGTCAGAGGCAGGATTTCCCGACTTCACTTGCCGTCTCTCAAGGACCACCCACGAATTACGACTCAGTCACAGAATCTCAGAGTGGTGAAGGGCCTGAGACCACCAGAACCACCCCGGAAATGCTCTTCCGCTTTGGTGGAGTGTGCCTGGACCGCTAGCTGCCCAGCTCCCCCCCAGTCTTTGTGAGACTCGGGACAGCTCCCGTCTACACTGGCGCTACCTTGCTCAGGGTCTTCATCACTTCTTCCTTTTTGTGACTCTTGTACACTTTAGCGAGTAAAAGCAAGCACTTGACGTCATTCATCATGGAAGGGATGTCATTCACTAGAAAGCAGAGCAAGGTCTCGGGTGAGCGCGGGGAGGGGAGGGGAGGAGCGGGGGGCGGCAGACCCCACCCCCATCCCCGCGCATGCACACAGGCTTCCCAGACCGTCAGCGACCCCCACGACTCCTCTCTTCCTCCCCTCCGCAGACCGCCGAGGGCGATGAGGCGGGTGGGGCCAAAGTGCGGGGAAGCCCTCCAAGGGACATGTACCGAAGTCGTGGTCCAGGACCTGCTTCAGCACCTTCTCTGCCTTGTTGAATTTCTTGAGCTTCAGGAGCAGCTCCGCGAGGTCGCAGCACAGGAAGTCCTGGCCGCTTATCTTCTGCGCGGCTTCGTAGTAATTGATGGCCTTAAGGAAAAGACATGAGGTCTCAGGGGCCGCCTCTGGTGCAGCGCTGGGACAGGGCTTGGCCATCGGGATGAGCCTGTTACAGAAAGGAAAGGTCCCCGCAGCCACGCTTCTTGGGGGACCCACTACAGCCCCCACTGGGACACAAGGTGCGCTAGGCATCTTTCTCTCATCTTCTCCACATCCTCCTGTTAGGCCTCCTGTCCTCTCTGAGTTAGGGATCCCCCATGCTGGTGCCCATCCTCGTGCTCCACACGAAGCCTGAATGGGGGGGGTCCTGAAGTCTGAGGGGGGGTGTCTGTGGATTGGGCAGTTTTGGGCTGGAGGGAGACCTTGTCCCCTTCTGTGGCCCCAGGTCTCCTTTCCCTCCTGATGGCAGTGTGTGCCTGGCTGGGGGCTGGATGGGACCAGGGGCTCCCACATCCCTCCCCCCCCACACCTGCTCCCCGGTATTAGCACATGACCAGGTGGAGGAAAAGGGACTGCGTGCAAGGCTCCCTGGTGGGGGGATTGAACACCCACAGCAAGGATCCCGGCTCCCTCAGCCCCTGCCACTGCTGACCTTATTATATTGGTGAGTTTTCACATATGCCTGCCCAATCCTGCTGACCAGGGAGGCATCATGAGGATTCTTTCGGTATGCTTCATCATACACCTCCAGGGCCTTCTCGGGCTGACGGGAGGGTGCAAAGAAAGGCATGTTTCCAGCACCCCCAACCCTACCTTGAAGGACAGAACAGGGGCTTTGGAGCTGGGAGGGGCAGTGGGCCAGGGTCCCGGGAAAATCACTCACCTCCTGAATATTCATGAAGGCATCACCCAGGAGGAGACTGGTGTGGGGGCCGGGCAAGTGTTCACAGAGTTCTCTGCAAGAGAAACCGGAGGGGATGAGGGAGGACAGGCCTGAGCCTCCCACCTTTAGGGCCTGGCCAGGTAGGGCTGCAGAATCCCAGGGTGTGGGAGCTGGAAGGAACCTTCTCTAGCACCTGTTCCAACAGCCCTATTTTACAGATGAGAAAACTGAGGTCCAGGGAAGGGACTAGCCATGCAGGGAGGGAGCTTCACCATACACTTCTGAGGGGGCCAAGGGGAGCATTTTTCCCATTTGGCCGGTGAGGAATTGAGACCCAGAGAAATCCAAGTTGGCCAACGATTATGTGGTCTGGTTTAAACTTGGGCCTCTCCTCCTGCTAACTGCTTCATCAGAGACAGGAAAAGGACGTGGCCATGTTTGTGCTCACTGGGCTGACCATGGCACACCCCAGCTCCTCCATAAACTCCAGCTAGTAACTCCGGGGCCAAAGACCAGCGTTAGGAATTAGTCTCCTTCTTTTACTCTACAGGCCAGTCCCTCTCTCAGGCTTGTGGCCCCTCACACACCATCTCCTACCTCCATACCTTTGCCCGATGTGTGTCTGGCGCAAAGGAAGCAAATAACGCTTGCTGATTATCTGAGGCTTTGTTTCCCAAAGGGAAGCTGCCCCTCATGCTGGGAAGCTGAATGTCCTGTGTGAGGCTGGGGGAGGGACCAGAAGCAGCCTCCTGGTCACACATTACAGAAAGGGGGCAGGCCCCCAGGGATGTGGCTCCTCCACTGGGCCACCCTCAATAACGGATGCCATTTGGAGGGTTGTAAAGCATGGGACACACCTTATCTCTGTGAGGGGGTGTTAGCTCCATTGTACAGATGAAGACACTGAGGCTCAGAAAAGCCATCTGCCTTGCCCTTGGTCACACGGCTAGGAAGTGTCAGAGACAAGAGTTGAGCGTAGGGCTGCTCTGTCTCCGGCTAGAAGACGGGGTCTTACTCCCACCTCAGTTGTCCTGGAGCTGGTCGGCTAGGGAAGAAGGCCAGGGTGGCTGGGGTGACCTCCTGCTTCTGGCCTTCACCCTGTGCCCAGGACTGTGCCTGGCCCAGAGAAGGGGCTTCCTAAGCGTTTGCTCACTGACTGCTCAGCTCACTGGAGTCTTGCCTGCCCCGATGCTTGCAGAGGGTACTGAGCTTTCAGGACACTGCAGGATGTCTACAGAATCAACCGTAGATCTTTTTAGCCTGATTCCTCTTTCCCCCCATTCCTGGTTTTGTCCCTGGTCCCAACTGGGGGATCAACCCTCTCTGAAGGACATGTGAGGAGAGGGGGCCCGTGCCAAAGGAGCCCTTAGGGACCTCATCATGCTGCAAAGTCAGAAAAATGAAAAGGCAATTCCTCCTAAGGATGTTCCCAAATGCTCTTCAAAGATGACAGGCAGCTGGTGGCACCAAGAACACTGGGCCTGCCAGAGCCAGGAAGACCTGGGTTCAAATCCGGCCTCAGGAACTTACTAGCAAGTCACTTAACATCTGCTTGCCTCAGTTTCCTCATCTGTAAAACGAGGGGGTTGCACTTACCCTCCAAGGGCCCTCTAGCTCTAAATCTATGACCCCCACATTTATTTTTAAAATGACATCTCTAGCTGGCGCTTGAAGTCCTGAGTTCAAATCCAGCCGCAGACATTTACTATCTGTGTGACTCAGAGTAAGTCACTGACCTTCTCTGTTTGCCTTGGTTTCTTCATCTGTAAAATGGGGATTATCATACTCCCTCCCTGCTTTTCACAGGCTTGCTGTGAGGCTCAAAGGAGATAACACATATCACTTGGGGTACTTCAGCCACCTTAAAGAACTATAGAAATGCTAGCTAGATTATCATTATTAGAAAGCACCAGCATTCTTGGAGCAAATTTTAATCCAATCAGGGTGAAAGACTGACAATCTCTAAAGGGTCAGTCTGGACTGGAGGAGCCAGCCACGCAGGGCACTTCAGAGAGGCAGGGCAGAGGAAGGGGGAGCGAACAAGCATTTGTAGAACACCGACTATGTGCCAGGTGCGGCGCTGAGCATTTTATGAATACTCACAACAGCCCTGGGAGGCAGGGGCTGTCATGATCCTTATTTTACACTTGAGGAAAGTGAGGCAAACAGCGTGAAGTGACCTGCCCAGGATCACTAGGAAGCGCATGAGGCTGGATTTAAACGTAGGTCCTCCTGACTCCAGGCCCGGCGCTGTGTCCACTCCAGCTGCCTCAGCAGAGGCTGTCTTTGCCATGAACGTGCTATCTTTCCCCCCAGGAATGGTATGGATGGAGCTCCTGGTGAAGCTTCCTGCTCAGTCCAGGCTGAGCAGCTTGGGGCCTGGGCACACCGGCCCCTCCACGTTTCCCTGGGGGGATTTCCCTGGCTTGGCCTCTACTGCCTCTGTGGCCCCCAGATCTTCCTCAGAGGTGATGCTGGGGATGTATGGCTGAGAGGACCCCACCCCCGCCCTCGCTCCCAAGAGCGTCTGCCGGCATTACCTATAGCAGCCGATGTAAAGCCGGATGTCCTTCCGAGTGTGAAGGTAAATGTGTGCCATCTTCTCCTTGGCCTCCGTGTAATAGGGCTGCTTGGGCGTGATGTTTCTCAGCATCCCAAGTGCCATCTCCACATTCCCCTTGCTCAAGGCCAGGTCCACGTTGGCAATGGTGATCCGTATCTCCTCGGGAGTACCGCTAAACTCGTTAATGGCATCCTGCATGATCTTGGTGGCCTCGTGCTGTGAGAGTGAAGCAGACCAGGCCCTCAGGATTAAATTAGGAAGGATGAGAAAACTGCTAAGTACTGAGTGTGTGCGTGTGTGTGTGTGTGTGCATGTATGTGTGTGAATGTGTATGCCTGTGTGTGTGTTTGTGTATATATGTGTGTGTTGTGTGTGTTTGCATGTGTATGTTGCGTGTATGTTTGTATGTGTTTGTGTGTGCATGTTGTGTGCATGTTTGTGTGTATATATGTATACATGTGTATTGGGGTGTGTGTGTGTGTGTGTGTGTGTGTGTAGGATTTCCAGTGACGGACCTCCCTGTACTGATGGAGGTGAGCATCTGCTCTGATGCACCCACCTTTCCCCTGAGGGTGACCTGCCCAGTTACATGGCTGGTCAGTGTGGGGGTGGGCCTTGAACCCAGGTCTTCCTGACTCCCCAACCACCATGCATGCTGCCTCTGGAGCTGACAGAAGCGGGGTTGGGGCAATGAGTGGGATGGGGCTGTCATGACCCTGGTGTGAATTCATGAGTGGGGTGATGACTGGGGGCACAAGGGGCGATCTGATGTCCTGAGCCTGGGGGCCTGTGTGGAAAGCAACAGCTAGAACTGGCCTAGAGCCAGGGGGGGAGGGGAGGTGGCGCAGGTGAGAAGCCCCCCTCCATCCTCATCCCTCCTGGCCTCTCTGCTGACCTCCCTTGGCTTGCAAGACACTGCTGTCTTGGCTTCCTCTCTTGCTTGTCTGCTCCTTATTCCAGCCCCAGCTGGGGTGTGTCCACCCAGGGTCTGCCTGGGCCCCCTTCTCTTCCCTCTTTGCCAGCCTCCCTTTGCATGGTCACGCTTCCCAAATCCATGTGTCCAGCCCTTGTCTCTCTGCTGAGTTCTGTCTAGCCACATCAATCCCGTGATAGCTGGACTCCTCCACCTGGATGTCCCAGGGGTCCTCACCACCTGCTCTTCCCCTGTTCCCCCCCCCCACACAAAGCTGCTCTCTCTGAAAACGTCCTTATTTCTACAGAGGGTGGCCTGCTTCTTCCAGGCTCCCAGGCCCACCGCCTCAGGCCATCTTGGATTCTTCTGCTTCTCCTCCCCCAAATGCCCAGACAGTGGCTAAGCCTTGATCAGTGTCAGGGACACAACGTCCTCCACTCACACAGCCTCTACCCTTGTTTAGATCCTGCTTACTTCTGCAGGGCCTCCTTGCTATGAGCCATCCTCCACCTGGAACTCCACTGTTCAAGAAGCATAATTGGTTCTATCACCTCTGGGGTAAAATACAGAGGCCTAGTCAAGGCCCCGGGCATGGCTCTAAAGTCCTTCACCACCAGGCCCCTGCCTTCCTTTGCCTGCATCCCCTCCACGTGCTCTCCATCCTGGCCACGCTGGCCTAGGCTGTTTGTCTTGGGAGATGCTAGCCCTCCTGGCTGCCTCCCCTGGGCCCAGCTCTGGGGCTGCCCATTGGCGAAGTCTTTCCTGATCCCCTCGGCTAGGCTGTTCTCCCCCTGCTGAAATGATGTGGCCTGTCTTCCAGAGAAGGCGAGCTCCCAGTGGGCCCGGGCTGTTGGCTTTTTATCTTTGCACCCCCGGCGCTTTGATTAGAGAAGGCCCCAGAGGAGTGTTGGTCACTGAACTGAACAGAAAGTCTCCAACTCTCCGGGCCTGGCCCCCTAACTTCTCCTAATCCCACCCCTGCACCTGGCGGGCCGAGCGGCGCACTAGGGGTCAGTCCCAGAGCTCAGAGTGTCTTCTGAGAGCTTAAACTCTGTAACTGCGGTTTTCTAGAAAACTCAGAATAAGAGGAAATCTTGGTTTGGGGTCATTCTTTCACTCCCCTAGGAAATGCCAGTCTTTACAATAAAGGTCTCTAGGTGGCAGCAGTGGATGGGGCCTGGGTGTGGAGTCAGGAGGACCGAGTTCAAATCCAATGTCAGACGCTTACTAGCACGTCACTTACCTTCCGTCTGCCTCAGTTTCCTCAATTGCAAAATGGGGATAATAACAGTCCCTACACCCGGTGTTGTTGCGAAGGTCAAATGAGTTAACATATATGAAGTACGATGCAAGCTTTAAAGTGCTACGTGAATTCTAGCCATTAAATCCAATATTTTCCTGAGGCTTTTATTTGACTGATTGGACATTTAGCAGTAATTTTTGATGAATCAATTAAAGTCATTTCTAGAGTGACATAACATGTGGATACTCTGCCTCCCCCCCTCCTCTCTGGGAAGGTTTCCAGGCCATCCCTCAAGGCCCTCTGGCCCCGGCTGCTGCTGCATCTGGTCACCAGGGCTCAGACAAGCGTGCTGCTGGGGTGTCCCTATGTCTGGGAACACTGGACGTGTGAGGCCCGAGGAGTCCCTGGGCCTCACCTAGGCTACCGCCCCCTCCCGTCTTTCCCACTTAGATCTCAGGGACAAGGTTCCGTGTCTCTTACCAGTTCCCCATTCAAACGCAATGCGTCGGCCAGTTCTAGCAGGATGGACACCCGCTCGCTGGGCCAGACACAAGAGTTCCTGGTTTTCTTGCTCTCCCCTTTCTTCATCGTGGGCAGCTTCATGATCATTTTGAGGGTTCTGATGGCTTCAGGGTAGTCTCCTGACTTGTTCAGGGCTCTCGCTTTGATGAAGTGATACAGCGGGTGATCACGCACCTAGGAGGGATCATGTGCCCATGGTTGCAGATGCCAGGGCTGTGACGGGCCTGGGCGGCCCACTGGCCCTTCCCTGGTTTCAGGCAGGCTGGGCAGGGGGCCCCGGCTGGTGGCTGATGGCTAGCGCACTAAGCTGGCAGGGAGACCCGCTGTGAGGCATGTGGGAGTCAGGGTGAGGAATCAGTGAGTCCGACAAGGTGGACTGGATCTTGGAGGTCATACTTCCTACCGCCCCTGAGGAATTTCCTTCTAGAGGACGGGTTCTTAGCCTGGGGGGTGGGAGGCAAGGCAGGAGTGTGTGAACTTAAAAAAATATACAGATAGCTGCATTTCAATATAATCAGCTTCCTTGTAATCCTGTGCATCTTATCTTGTGCATTTAAAAACAGGATTCAGAGAAGGGGACCCCAGGCTTCACCAGACTGACTGCCCTAGAGCTCAGGGCACCCAAAAGGGGTCAGGGGAGATCACATGCCTGTGGACCGATGACAAGGGTGGGGGTGATACAGAACATCACCCCAGAAGCTTAGCAGGGACGTCTAGGGAGCTGCAGCACCCATGACCCCCAGAGGAATCAGGGGCCCCAGAGAGGTAAGGCAGAGGCCCTCTCTAGGTCCTCCCAGATAAGACACCAGGGCCCCCGGGGTTTGGAAGAGGATGCACGAAAAACGTGTTTGTCCTCCGGCCTAGCAAAGAGGGCAGAGCCTTGGTTGTTGGCCCTGCTCCTTGCCTGGCTCCCCCCCCGGGATGCCCCCTCACCTGGAAGTTGTGGCTGACTCCCAGCTCTAAGGAGTGGGAGCACATCGTGAAGTTTCCCTGAGACAGGTAGATCTGGGCCATTAGGAGGTGAACATCAGCAGAGGTTGGATCGAGCTCCAGGCATCTCTGCAAAGTGCTCTGAGCATTCTCCAGTTCTCCTAGGGGACGGCACAGAAAGTCTCTACCTCAATCCTGGACGCCATCTTGGAATCTCCAGCTCCACAGAGCCAAAGCAGAACGTGGCATCTTCTCCCTGGACCCTACCCTCTTCCCAACTACCCTTTCTCCTTTGAGGCGTCACACTCTGTCTGGTCACTCAGCCTTGTGTCTTCTCCCCTTGAAGCCCCGCATCCAAACAGCTGCCAGGTCTCTTGCACCGGCCTCCTTTCTCCCTAGCTTGGGTCCTGGGCTATTGCAATCACCTCCTAATGGGTCTTTCTACCTGCAGAATCTCTTATCACTGTAATTTCCAAAGGCAGGAGATTGACCACATCCCTTTCCTGCTCAGAAGCCTTGGACGGTTCCCTTTTACCTCCAGGATAAAACAGATTCCTTCCGAGGGCCTTGAAGTTCTCCTTAAGCTCTAGGCTCTACTTTTACAGCTTTCCCAAGAATTAGAAAATAAATTCCAGTGTTACCCTTCCTCAACCAGTACCTATCAGAGATCTCTGCTATGTGCCCCTCCTGGGGTTTGAGGAAGGAAGGATCTAGGAGAGGGCCCTTGCTGTGGTTGGTGGAGAAGCCACTGTCAGTGGGAATGTGAGAGGTAAGCTTTGTATCAGCATTAACGGCCACTAACTGTAGATTTCATTCAACCACACGTAGTTGATAAATACTGACTATGTGTAGGGCCTGTCCTGTGTGCTGGGGACACGCATTGACCCTGGAGGGACGTGGAAACAGAAGGACTGCTGCCTGCTCTCAAGGGGCTCACTGGACAGCCGCATACACAAATAACCAGCAACACAGAGGAAGAGGCTCAGAGGAAGGCCCAGCCCTCCCGAGTGGTGGGGATTTGGGGAGGGCTCTATGCAGAAGGTGCGAGCTCCAGCTGGGCTCTGAGAGCTGAACCGGGAGGATGCTCCAGTCTGGGAGCTGGGGTAATCCATGTAAAGCATCCTGGACCCGCTGGCGTTCATCATGACGAGTCTCTTCGGGCCTGTGTGAGACTGGCCAACGCGGCTGGGGGCTCTGTGCTTACCTGACAGGTACTTGACCTGTGCCATGAGATAAAGCGGGTCAATCAGAGCGGGGGCCACTTTGACCACGGGGTTCAGGATCACTGCTGCTTGCTTGAGGAGAGGAGATATGATCTGGCCTGGGGATCTAGGCTGGGAAGGAAATGTGACAGCCCTCAGAGCCTTCCCTTGAAAACCAAAGTGGAGGGCTCTTCTGGGAGACTCTGCAGGTGGGCTGGGCTGGGAGGCTATCACCTAATGCCCTGCTGGCCGGCCCCAGTCTTCTGCGCAAGGGGACACTTAGGGGAGCGTCATTCTTTCCTTTTGCACTCGAAATATCCAGAAACATGAAGGGAATAGTACAAAGAGACTGAACCACAAATATGCAGGCTAAGAAGGGTTTAGTCCATGACCTCAGGGCCTGGAGGCTGGCTCAGAGATGACCAGCTAGGCTGCAGGGGCGGGATGTTTGGCCACAGCCCTTCCTTCCTGAGGACCCCTTTTTAGGCGCCACCCCACCCCCCGCCCCCCAGGAGCTGAGCTGTGTTGCCTGAGGCACAGACGGGCAGCCACTTTCAGTCTTGCAGCGAGCTCCCTGGGGCAGGGACCCGCACCTGCTTAGGGCAGAAGGACAGGTACTCCTTCACGATGTTCACCAGGAAGGCTGGGTTGAGCTTCTCGAAGTACTCGACGCTGAGCGGAATGCCCTGCATGCTGCAGAAGTGGAGCTCCGCTGCCTCCTTGAGGAGAGCCGTGGCCGCCTGCTCACTCTTGTGCTTCTTGGAGGCCAGCAGCGCCTGGAGGAAGGTGAGCACCTGCCCAGGGGAGGGAGCTCTTGGCCTTGGCACTCCTCCGCCCAGGCTGCCCCGGGGAGGGGGGGAGTTGGCATTGTGAGCTGGCTGGGGCCCCTGCCCAGAGCCCTCCCAGGAGGACCTCCGCTTTGGATTTAAATTGGGGGGGGAGGGAAGGAAAGGAGTGGGGGAAATAAGGCGACCTCTGACCTCGGACTTCCCCAGGGACAGCTGAACTTCCTTCAGGAATTCCAGCTGTTGCTCTGCCTCCTCCAGGTTGCCCTCCAGGATCTGGCACCAGATGATGCCTGTAGTCCAAGCACACAAAGGAACAACCTCATAGTCGGTCAACTGAGGAGGAGACCGATTGTGTGTCATGGGTCCCTGAGCACAGCAAATGCTGTCCTTCCTGAATCCCCCAGGGGCCCTGGACACTGGCACTTCTAGCGGGGGTTTCCATGTTTTGTTGGGTTCATTTAAAGCTTGTAGAAGGTATAAGAGGAAAAGTGGGAGGTCAGGGTGGCCTCCCTGCACCTGTGCCCAATAGGAGGGCCCTCAGGGCCTTGGTGAAGAATCCCGCCAGGACAGACCCTATGTCTCCTCCTTCCTTCTTTCTTTCAGTGTCAGCCCTCTCTGGCTGCCCAAGGGGAGGCCCCCTGTTGTACCAAGACTGAGGGAGGGCAGCGTGAAAGCCCCGGGATTGTAGGTCCAGGCCTGGGCGGTGCCTCAGAGACCACCGCTGGTGTAGAGACCCATCTGGGCAATTCCTGTTGGAGCCTGAGCTCTGCCTGGCCACAGGGTGAACTCAACAGGCATCCATGGGACGTGAAGAAAAAGGAAGCACCAGCCCCTGGCCTCCAGCTTCCTGCACTCTGGTGGAATGAAGGGGAAGGAGGTCGAGGGTGGGGACTGTCAACGTCCTGGCTGATTTCGTTGTAAAGAAATGGCTATAAACGTTGTAAAGGGTGGCTCCTTGGGAAAGTTAAGTCAGGCAACAATGAAAGGGGTCCCGTGAACTGCCGTGATCTGAATCCCTAACTTCCTCGAGCCCCTCCCCCGGGTCAGGGCAGCCTGCCGCACCGCACAGACCTGTCAGGGCCGCCACGCTGCTCTCGTCCAGCTTCATGGCTTCCGTGTACCACAGAGCGGCTTCCTTCGCTCTCTCCTGAAGGATGAGCTGGTAGCCCAGCTCGTTAGCGAACTGCGCATCTGAGGGCGCCGCTAGGAAGGTGCGCTCGATGAAACTGTAGATTTGCTGCAGGATTATCTGGTGCTTCCCACACTGCGAGGAAAAACAGCGCGGGGCTGCGGCGGCCTTAGCGGATGGAGCTGACCGATGACCGGGCCCGAGGGTCCCCACCAGCTAGGGAGAACCTGGCCCCCAGGCCAGCCACAGAAACGAGTGAGTAGCGTCAGGCCTACGAGGCAGGGCCGCCAGCAAGGCCCACCGAAGTCCGCGTTACAAGGCGTGACCCAGAATCCAGGACCAGGATTTCAGGGCAGGAAGGGTCTCCTCGGCCGTCTGGTCCAGCCCAAAGTGGGGGAAAGCTCTCTACTACAACAGACCGGGCCCCTTGCCGAGCATTTCCCAAAAGGTGAAGGCTGCCCTTTCCACTCGGACAGAGCGCAGGCTGGTGGGAGGTTTTCCCTGGCCCTGAGCTCAGATGTGCCCCTCTGCCTCCCCCTCCCCCCGGGGTCCGCAGGCTGTGCCAGTGCTCCGGTTCGGCTCTGAGGCCTCCCCTGCTGAGTGTCCTCCACTCCTTCCACTGATCCTTTAACCATGCTGGCTGCCCCATTCTGAGCGCTCTGCGGCCTTCCGGTGCCCGGCCCAGACCAGGGCACTCCAGAGCGGTGCTACCACCCCTTCTTCCCTAAAACTCCGCCCCTTTGATACGCCCGTTATCGGAGGCGGGGCCCACTTCCCACTCTCTCTCCTAGCCAGCTCGCAGAACCTCGAGGAAGCCCCAGATCTTTTTGCAGACGTGCCATTCACTCATGAGGCAACGTCATCCGGTGGTCCAGGCCCTACTGCTTCCTGTCTTTGGGAGGCTGGTGAGACACTGACCGTCTGGGACTCGGATTGAGGAGACTGGCCCAACCATTTGGCCTTCGCCGTCCCTGCCCGCTCTGGGTGGTTCAGGGCTCCTCCTACGAGCGCTGGACTCAGTGCCGGCGGGACCACAAAGATGGTACAGCCCCCGTCCCGGGGAGCTCACGTATGGAAGCAGAAGCAATGCATCGCCAGGGGACAGACAAGGCAAGAGCGTATACAAGGGAGAGCAAGGGCTGCCCGGGTGGGCTCCGGGGAGGGCTGCACAGGAGGAGTCCTGAATCAAGCCTGAAGGCTGGGTGGTCAGCCTGAGCGTGGCACTGAGGGAGGAGGAGGCCGGGGAACCTGCTTACCAGTCGACTGAGGACGATGACCTTCTTGAGATGCAGGCTCGGGTTCTGGGGTTCCTTGGTCTCCAAAGCCTTAATCAGATTTCTCACCTGATTGATCGCCTGCAGGGAAAAAAAAGAGACGTCTTCACCCAGGCCTTGCCCCTGCCTCCTGGCTTTTGCTTTTTAAACGGAAGGCCTTACTCTCAACTGTTTTCTACCTACCAGGTACAGAAACCCCACGCTCAAACCCATGCAGTAATTGGTTAGTTGTATTTAGGCAGATAATACTTCATCAGTCAATAGTCAAGAAGCATTTATTAAGCACCTGCTATGTACCAGGCAATACAACAAGAGGCAAAAGACAGTCCCTGCCCTCAAGGAGCTCACCATCTAACGGGGGAGACTTTGTACCATCCATCCTTTGGGAGGCTGCACAGCTTAGTGGAGAAGAGCCAGAAGACCTGAGTTCAAATCTTGCCTCAGACACACACTGGCTGTTTGACGCTGGGCTGGTCCTCTGGGTGATTCTCTAGGGTTCGCAGAGCAAGTACCATTGGGGGAAATAAAATAATTGGCCGTGCCTGATGCTCCCCGAGTGAGGAGGCTGCTTCTCAAGGGTACAGAGAGAGGGGCGTTGTGGTGTGGGGCTGCACAGCAGAGGATGCCACTGGATGGAGGAACAAAGGAGAAAACTCTTTGTCCTTGTGGTTCACTCGTTTCGGCCGTGTCCGACTCTCTGTGACCCCATTTGGGGCTTTCTTGGCAGAGATGCTGGAGTGATTTGCCACTTCCTGCTCCAGCTCATTTTACAGATAAGGAAACTGAGGCAAACAGGGTGAAGTGACTTGCCCAGGGTCACACAGTTTGTTCGTGTCTGAGGCCAGATTTGAACTCAGGTCTCCTTGCCTCCAGGCTCAGCTCTCTATCCACTGTGCTACCTCTGCCCCAAAAGACACTCCTTAGGTGTTTATTACGTGCAAGGCACGTGTGACGTGCAGGGGGGCATACGTGCCAGCCCAGATAGTTCTTGTTCCCAAAGAGCTCCTGCTCTATTTAGAGGAGATAACTGACTTAGGAGGATGGAAAACTCCTGGGTTCCCCAGGGTGCAGCAACAAAGCCACTGACGGTCAAGCGTCTTCTTCAAATCAAACCAAACCACCCCCTTTTCTGACAGCGAACTCTTTGAGCTGCCAGGGACTTGAGTGGTGAGACTTTCCTTTCACGGGACATTAGCTGGGGACCCCAGCACTTGGGGGGTTATGTGTCTCACAAGGCATGCTTTCAGGTACCTGGTGCTTGGGGGGGGAGATATTGGGGAAGGCAAGGGGCAGGGGCAGAAATCCTGAAGTCTGCACAGAGAGCTAGAGAGCTCAGAGGCCAGGCCTCTTCAGTGACCCAGGCCACACCAAACTGGACCCTAGATTTTGAGTTGAAGGGGGGCTTAGAGGTCTCTTGTTGCCCAACTTTCATATTCTGCCAATAAGGAAGACCCCGCCCAACACTTCGATGTTTGCCCGGTAGAGCTGGAGCTTGGGACCCAGGGGGGTCCAGAGTAAAATAGGAATCAGAGGCAGGGACCCAAAAAGCAGGATCATAGAACCTTTGGAGTTGGAGGGAACTTCAGGCAGCATCGCGTCCAACCCGAGTGGCCCAAGAGTCCTTCCTACAGCCATGACAAGGGACCACGCAGCCTCCAAGGAAGGGTCATCCTGGCATGGGGTGGGTCCTTGGCCAAAGAGCCACGTGATGCTCTGCTCCCACTCCTCTTGGTGGAAGCTGACTGAGGAGGACCTTATGTCTTTGTCTATACTGTGGGTTTGCCATGGCTGAAAAAAATCTGTCGTGTGGTGGCCAGTCTCCTGGCTGACCCCCAGAGAAGACACCATCCATGCCTTCTTGGCCTAAAGCTGCCATTTTGTTGGGTTCTGCCAGTGCTGTGCCCTGCTGCCATGACCTTTGAGAGTCCGGGGCGAGAGCACCGCCATGCTATCCTGAGTCATCGCCAAGGGCTGGCCTGGAGGTGTTCACTTCTTTGTAAGATGAAAAAATAAGGCAGTCGGGGAAGCAGTGAGGTGGCCCGGTGGACAGGGTTCTGGGCTTGGAGTCAGGGAGATCTGAGTTCAAATCCAGCATCAGACACTTAACCAGTTGGGTGACTTTGGGCAAGTTGCTTTACCTTTGTTGGCCTCAGTTTCCTCAACCGCAAAACGGGGACAATGGGAGCCCCCACCTCCCAGAGTTGTGAAGATAGTATTTATAAAGTGCTCAGCACATTGCTTGGCACATAGTAAGCCCAATCTAAGTGTTAGCTATTTTTCATCATTATTAGGCTGTGGGGGTAGATATGGGGTCTTTTTTTGTGTCTGTATTTGAGATTTCCTGTAACAGGAAATCCTGTGGGTACTCCATCATTGACTGACCAATCATTGATCATTGCTTTAACAGGATGGGGGTTACAGAATGCCAGCTGCCAAGAAGGGGTCTTGGAGGTCAGCGAAGCCATGCTCTTCATTTTATAAGAGACATCGAGGCCTTGATGGGAAACCAGACCGCTCAAGGTCTCTATTTCTGCAGCACTGTTGGAATCAGCTCTGCTTAAGCAACGCCATGTGGAGGGAAAGGCAGATGAGACAGAACGGGTGGGGACAGACAAGTCCATGGCACCCCGAAGTGGCTGGAGGCTAAGAACTAGGGAGCTCAGGCCATGGGCCTGTGTTAGAAAAGAAAAATTACTCATTATGCAAGTTATTAATACATAATTCACAGGACATTTCTTAATCCTCCAGAGAACTGACCTCATTGACATCTCCTTCCCTTGCAAACTTGTGCACGGCCAGAACCTGATGGGCATCGATGTTGTTTTCATCTTTTTCTAAGATTCTGAAACAGGAATAGGAATTCCTCCAAGTTAAGCGTGACCCCACAAGCTGGGGGGCTGGTCGACCTTCCGTTGGACACTTGGCTTGCTGCTCTAAGATGTGTGAACAACCCGGTGAGGCAGGCCAATGTTTTTGCATTATTGGAATGCTTTGTGCTGGCCCACTACAGCTGGAGAAGAGATTGCATGTTATGTTTCTGTGTCAGGCCCCTCTCACAGTCTGGCAAGGCCCTGGAAACCCTGCTTAGAATCACGTAAAGGAAACGCTAAGCCTCAGGAAGGGGTTGGGGCCATTTCTCCCTCTGTCTGAGTTCGTGAACCCTGGAATCTCTTCACAGAACTTTTGGGGGCCCCAGGTTAAAGATCACAGAGCTAAGTTCTGGATTCTACCCAAAAGCAACTGGAGTCTGTGTGGCCCCACAGAAAGAGCACTGAGCTTGGACTCAGGAGAAGCCCGGGACCCAATCTTGTCAACTATGTGACCCTGGGCAAGTCATTTAACTTTGCTTTAACTTAACCAAGGCATTCTGACCATGCTCCCATAAGACGGGAGCCTGGAGCATTGACCTCACAGGGTGAGGCATTTCTTGCATCTCAGGCTGATTCTCAGGACTAGAGTACGCTAACAAAGCTTTGAGCATCCTCTGGGTGGTCTGGAAGGCACAGTGGGGTCTCTCTGAGCCCCTTGAGCTCCTCCAAAGCACCACAGGCCTCAGTCATCATGGGATGTGAGGCCCCTTATGTGCCAAGGAACATATTTTCTGGTTTCCCCAGTGCTCACTGGATGACCCCCCTGGCCCAAGGCTCTCACCCACCATACTCTGCTGAAGACGCAGCCCAGGGCTATGGAGGCCCTCGGGGTTACAAGCGGAAGCAAGGGTGAAAAGAAGCAGGAGGTGACTCCCCAAACTGCAGCAAGCTTACTGCCTTGGCAGAGCTGAATGAATGGAAGGAAGGAGAGCGGTTCTCTGTGAGACTGGAATGGGAGGGCTGGTTGGCTTTAAAGCCAACAGTCCTCTCTTGGAGGAGTCAGTCCCGGGCAGGCCCAGAGGGCTGTGGGGAGAGGCAGGAAAGGGACATAGAAGATTCTGCCACCCCACAGGAGAGGTGGATGACATTTAAGCTTGGAAAGGAGGTGGGTGGGTCTGGAGGAATTCATGGTCACCTCGTGGCTGCCCGGCTTTGGCTGTGCCTCTATAGCAGGCCTGCTGGCTGTCCCACTAGAATGTAAGCTCATGGAGGACAGAACCTGCTTTCTCTTTTCCTTTCTTTCTAAAGTGCCTGGCACATGTTATGTGCTTCCTGCGGCTGGTAGGAGTGAGAGATCACAGAGATCACAGAGAGGCCAAGGGCTGCCCTGGGGGCCCCACAGGACCCCTAGGGCCTAGAGCAGCTCCTCTAGGGACACTCTGGGAAGAGGGATGCACAGGATGAGGCAGGGGGAAAACACTGTCTCTTTGTCATTTGGTGAAATCTTTAAGTCTGCCGGAGCTAAAATAAAAACCTGAAAAAAATACAGCATCCAGGCCTTGGAGTCAGGAGGACCTGAGTTCAAATCCAGCCTCAGACACTTGACACTTACTAGCTGTGTGACCCTGGGCAAGTCATTTAACTCCGATTGCCTCACCAAAAAGCAAGAACACAAAAATACAGCCTCCCGACACTATGGCTACTCATGGTCTCTTCCCTTACCGCTGTCCTGTTTCAACAGTTTGTTCCCAGTCTTGCTGGGCCAAGAAGAGTCTCATCTTCAGTGTAAATGCTGGGATGAAGTTAAAAAACGTAACTGTTATTTGATTAACAACTTCCAGAGCACCCGAGTAATTCTGCTGCATCATGAGATAGTTTGCCTATTGAGAAAAGTTCAGAGAGACCACTTAGCTCAGGTGAACTCTGTTGACGGCACAGTCCTCTGCTCTGCCTGCCATCTCAAGGAGGATGCCGAAGCTTGGCCTTGAGCAGCCCAGATGAGGGCTGGCCCCTGGGGCTCTCTGGAGCCGTGTACCTCAGCGACAGCTCCCTCTGGGATCTGGCTTTGTCAGCCGAAGGAGGCCTGGGAGGCTCCAGGGCACGGCTGCCAGGGAACTGCCAGCCTGAGTGCACATACCTCCCACCCAGGGAGGATCTACCAGCCTGGAGGCTTTGGGAGGAGGCCCAGGAAGGCCCTGTATCTCATCTAGGGAAGACGGCTCAATTCAGGACAGGGAGCGAGGGCCGCTCACATGTAGCTAAGACTAGAGGTCCTTGGGGACCGTCTGGTCTGAGGGCCTCACTAAGCACAGGGGGACAGAGGCCTTTGGAGGGGGAGGTCCTGCTGGGAGTGAGGGGGCGAAGCTGGGGCTAGGACTAAGGCACTCTGACCGTGTTCCCGACCTTCCCCATCAGGCCCAACACATCCTTGGTGTCTCGGATCCCTTGATCAAAGTACTTGACGGACTTCTTTACGGTGTGCTGTTTGTCAGAGGTAAAGTCCACCCAGCCTCGGAGCACATAGCCCTGAAGAGGGAAATGGGGGGCTTTCAGAGAGCTCACCCCGACTTCCAGGCTGGCCCTAGTAGGAGCGGAGTCGAGGCTGCCTAGGTGGTGTGATGGCGGCCCGGGGAAGGGCCTCCCGTCCACTGGGGCCAGCACCTCAAATGCCCCCTCCCCCAGCTCCTTGAGCCCAGGCCCCACCCCAGATGCCCAGGATCTGCTGAGCTGGGCTCATCAGTGTGCTCCCCGCCTTGGGGATGGAGGGTACTGTCCTTGGTGCTCATGCTGGCTCACGTGTGGGTTCTCTCTGATTTAAAGTCTCCCCATCCCGCCTCCCCGCCCCCAGCCCACCTGCCTCGACCAGAAAACGGAGCCCACGGGAGTGCTCAGGCCTCACCTCTCTGGATCCGCTGGACACTTTGAGCATTCTGTCAATGTACTCCTTGGCTTTCTCATTTTTACCCATGAGCCAAAGAAACATCCCCGCATAATACAAGGCGCTCGTGCTGGCAGATTTCCGGGTTTCCTTGAGACAATTTTCAAGTTCTGAAATAGCCTCCTGATCTGCATCCCAGGGAGAAAGCCAGATTGAGGAAGGGTTAGGATATGGATGTAATCCTATGTTAGCGGGAGCCTGAGAAAATCTTTATTTAAAAAACCCCAAAACTAGACAGTGGGGCACCTGGGAGGTACAGTAGAGAGCACCAGCTCTGGAGCCAGGAGGACCAGAGTTCAGGGGTAGAGGCCAGCTCTCTCTCTGCCCCACTGGCTCTCCAGGTGCTGCCTTCTGAACGGTAACCTGACCTGTCTGCAGAGGACAAATCTGGAAGATGGGCCAAGTCTCCACGCCCAGGGGCTTCAGAGAACACGCGCTTTCTCTGGCTTGGTTTTCTGGCCTTTGCCATTCCTCTGTTCCTGCTGCATTCCACACCATACTGCCTCCCAAAGGATTAGCTTGCAAGCTCCTTGAAAGCTGGTTCTATAGGCTGTTGAACGCGTTCCCACCCCAAAATTTAGCACAATAGACACAGTAAATGGTCAGTAAGTACTCACTGAAGTGGATTATTTATGCACACACTTCATTCCCCCTCCAGACTGTGAAGTCCCTGAGGACAGATACTGAGTCCTATTCACCTCTGCCCTCACCTGGCACCTCATGTGGCCAGGTCCTTGCATGGGGCAGGTCAGAGTGAAGGCTTGTTGGATGGATTCTTGGCTTCCGAGGGTCCCCATTCCCCTCCCCACTCTCTGCCTTCCAGAAAGGCAGATTTTGCACAAACATTTTGCCTGCCTGGCTAAGTCTTTGCTGCCTTTACCAAGTATCTGGTTTCTTCTGAAGACACCTCACAGGATCATGGTTAAAGGGACCACTGAAATCATCTGTCCCTTTACTGGGTCAGGAGATGGTCAGCTAGCGGACAGAGTTCCGGGCCTGGAGTCAGGAAGACCTGAGTTCAGATGTGGCCTCAGATGATGACTAGCTGTGTGACTTTGGGAAAGTCACTTCACTGCCTGCCTGTTTCCTCTTCTGCAAAATGAGAATAATAACAGCACCCACCTTTACAGGGTCACTGAAAGGATACAATAGTATTTGGGGTACGTAGCACTTAGGTGCCTTGTAAGTGGTTCTTTTCTCTCCTTCCCCTTTATTTTAGAGGTAAAGAAACTGAATCCCGGCAAAGTGAAGTGACTTGCTGAGGGTCACACAGGAAGCAGAGTGGGATTGAAACTCATCTTATACCACCTAAAGGTATGAGTTTGGGGAAAATTATGGATAGGTATGGATAGGCCAAAATGGAGATGGAGAATTCACTGATGGTCTCTATAAATACTTATAAATTAGAATATTTAGAACTTATTCTGGGATAAACTTCTTGACAGCACAAGGCTAGGAGATAGTGGATTCTCCATTTGGGCAATCCCCCAGCCTGGGCCTGGCTGCAGAGCCATTTTCAAAGGGGAGTAAGTAGGAGAGGAAGGAGGTGGTGGAGGGAGAGTGAGGAGCCCCAAGAGGCCCGCTCGGTACCTCGAAGTCAAGAGAGAGACCCGCAAACCAGAACAAACACATATAGGAGGGTGCTCCCAAGACTGTGAAGGCCCCAGGAAACCACAGCATGAGGAAGACAGCTGGAGGACCAGGAAAGGAAATGCTTAGCTTGACGAAGAAAACTTCTCCCTCCTGCCCGCCCGCCTGAGAGCCCCCTCTGTCTGAAGATCTGTCAGATGGACCTTCTCTGTCAATCATTAGAGGAAGGTTCAGTGGAAGGCAGGGCCTCTAATAAGGAAATGAAGGGACTAGGTGATGAGCCCCTTGGTACTAGGAGGCTCTGAGAAAGCAGTCAAGCTTCAGGGAGGATAGTCTGTCCACAGAAGAGACATTTGGCCTCTTCTGAAATTCCCATCCCCACAGCTTTAATTAGGTCAATCAATCAATCCATGAGGATTTATTAAGCACCTACTAGGTGCTAGGTAGGGGCTGCTAGGTGGTGCAGAGGATAGAGTGGGCCTGGAGTCAGGAAGACCCGAGTTGAAATTCAGCCTCAGATACCTACTAGCTGTGTGACCCTGAGCAAGTCATTTAACCCTGTTGGCCTAAATTGCCCCATCTGTAAAATGAGCTGGAGAAGGCAATGGCAAATCACTCCAGTGTCTCTGTCAAGAAAACCCCCAGTGGGGCCACGAAGAGTCGGACACAACCAAACAACAACAACACAGTCAAAGATGAGGGACTTTGGGAGGGAGGCCAAGCACGGCGGGAGGGATGGGGAAAGGGCAAATGCAGGAAGTGACTCCTGAGCCGCTAGAGGAAGAGAGGCGAGGAAGAAACGCTCACTGCCGCAATGAGCTGAGAAAAAAGAAATGGAGAGAAGCAGAGGCAGAGAGGATGCAGAGGGTGGGTGGGATGCTTAGGGAACCCCGGGGGTTCAAATAAAAAACCAGCTGGGACAAGGGACCCTTTGGCAAAGTCACAGGACGTAAAGTGAGCCCACAGGTCAGCCACACTTCCGTACATCACCAACAGAACCCAGCAGCGAGGGGTCGAAGGAGAAGGTCCATTTAAAATCTCTATGGACAGGATAAAATGCTTGGGAGTTTACCGGCATGACATGCATCGGGACTGCATGAGCAGCATCACAACACACTCCACGCAAATAAAGGCAGATCCAAATGGAGAGATAGTAATTGCTCATGGTTCGGCTGAGTCAACATGATGCTAATGACACTACTACCTAAATTATTTTATTTCTTCAGTGTTTTACCAATCAAACTACCAAAGCACAATTTTATAGAGCTAGAAAAATAATAACAAAATTCACTGGGAAGAACAAAAGGTCCAGAATGTTAAGAGAAACGATGAAAAAAATGAGAGGGAGGGGGGCCTGGCGGTACCTGATCTCAAACTGCACCACAACTGTATCTATCAGAAACAAGCCGGTGCTGGGGAAGAAGGAGAGAGGGTGATCAGGGGAAGAGACCAGGTGCCCACAACACGGAGCAAATGGCCACAGTGACCTGGTGCTTGATAACCTCGAAGATCCCCGCTCCTGGGGAAAGAGCTCACCATTCCACAAACATGGAAAAAGGCTGGGCAGAAACCGGACACAGACCAACATCTCACACTGTCTACCAGACGGGCGCTGACGGAGACGGAGAGGCTGGCCTCTAAACAAGCTGACGTCACAAACGAGGAGCACCGAAGGAAGGACCTGCAGGCCTGTGGCCAGGGGAAGAGTCCAGGCCCGAAGAGGGTGCAGAGAGGCTCATGGGAGGCAACACAGGCGGGGCTCGTTACATCAAATGAAATGTTTTTGCACAAACAAACCAATGCAGCTAAAATTAGAAGCGCAGTAGGAAGTGGGAAGATATCTGCGGCCAATGTCTCTGATAAAGCTCTCTCTTCTAGGATATACAGGAGACCGAGTCAAATTTATAAGAGTAAGAGTGATTTTTCCAGTTGATAAATGGCCAAAGGACATGGATGGGCAGTTTCCAGAGGAAGCAATCCAAGTCATCAATAGCTATATGAACAAATGCTCTAAATTACTAATAATTAGAGAAATGCAAATTAAGCCAACTTTCAGGGACCACCTTGTACTCATTTATTGGCCAAGTGAACAACAAATGACAAATGCTGGAGGGTTTGTGGGAAAACAGGTACTTTCATGAACTGCTGGTTGAGCTGAGAACTAGTCTAACTTCTCTTGAAAGCCATTTGAAACAAGGCCCCAAGGCTATGAAGCTGAGTGTACCTTTTGATCCAGAAATTTCACTACTAGGTCTATGACCCAAAGAAAATTGAGGAGGAAAGGGACCCAAAAATATTTATAGCAGCTCTTTTTTTTTTGTGGTGGCAAAGAACTGGAAATGGAGGGGATGCCCATCAATGGAGGAATGGCTGGACAAGTTGTGGTATGGAAGGTAATGGAATATTATCATGTTATAAGAAATGATGAGCAGGAAGATTTCAGAAAAACCTGGAAAGACTTATAGGAACTGATGCAGGGTGAAGTGAGCAGAACCAGAAGAGTACCATTAAGTACACATTATTATAATAACAATATTATAAAGACCATCAACTTTGAAAGCCTTAGTAACTCTGATGAACATGATGACCAACCATTATAAAGGGTTTATAATGAAATATGCTGCCCTCCACCTAACAGAAAACTGACAGACTCGAGGGCAGATCCAAGCATCTTTATTTCTTTCCTTTTCTCTCCGTTTCTTTCTTTCCATTCCTTCCCCTTTCCTTTCCTTCCCCTTTCCTTTCCTTCCCTTCCCTTCCCTTCCCTTCCCTTTCCTTCCCTTCCCTTCCCCTCTCCCCTTCCCTTCCCCCCTTCCCTTCCCTTCCCCCTTCCCCTCCCCTCCTCTCCCTTCCCTTCTTCCCTCCCTCATTTCCTCCCTTCTTCCCTCCCTCATTTCCTTCCTTCCTTCCTTCCTTCCTTCCTTCCTTCCTTCCTTCCTTCCTTCCTTCCTTCCTTCCTTCCTTCCTCCCTCCCTCCCTCCCTCCCTTCCTTCCTTCCTTCCTTCCTTCCCTCCCTCCCCCCTCCCTCCTTTTTGGACATAGCTAACATGGAACTGTTTTGCATTTTGCATACATATTTGCAATGGGCTTTATTTCTCTTGCCTTCTCAAAGGGTGAGGGGGGGAGGAGGGAAAAATAAAAATAAAATTGAATTAAAATATTTTTGAAAAGAATATAAGCCCCATGAGGGCAGGACAGAGCACAGTGCCTGGCACCTAGTAGGCACTTAATATGCCCTTGCCGATTGGCTGGAGCACAGGGCATGAGCTTGCTGACAAGCCCAGTTTCCAAAGCATCAGGAAAAGAACTGAAGGAAAGCCACATGGTTAAGGACAACGATTGAGTGGGCTAGAACACCATCAGGAAGAAGCCTGACTACCCAGACTGGGCAGAAACGTGAGAGAGATGTCAAAGACAACAGCCAGGCCTGTCGAGGGCTGAGGCAGCCCTTGGGCACTGACAGCGTAATGCCCCTGGATGCCAGGGAGAAGACCTGACTCTTACAGCCTCAGTTTCCTTCTCTGTAAAATGGGGTCAGTAAAGCTTGCAGTCCCTAACTCACACTGCAACAATCCATTGTGGCCCCAAAAAGGCTCCGAGTTAGCTTCAGGGGAAAAGGAATCCTACAGCCCTGGCTTGCGCGACCGAGTGTGGTGGTGTCTTCCTGCCCGGCCTCTCCCACTTACCGATGGTCTCACAGCGCTTGTGGGCATAAATGAGGGCCATCATGGAGCACAGCGACACGTCCGGGTGATTCTTCAGACTTTCCAGCTCGCCGATGGCGTCCTGTATGTGTTCTGCAGAGACAATTCACGCTAAAATTTTAAATCAAAATGCAGTAAACGATTGTAGTGAAGAGAGGGAGGAATGGCCCCACATGGGGGAGTGCAGGAGACCCAGATACACCAAAGCCTGGCACACAGTAGACACTTAGTAAATGCTCGCTGATGGCTACAAACCATTCTTGCATATTTTAATAAACTCGGTCTGGCTGCCCCAATCGAAACTCTTTCCAATCTATATTCTATGCTAGTGCCCCAGTAATCTTCCTACATCATTATTTATTTTTACACCAATCATTTCCATATAGATCCACCCTCACCCCAAATGACCCTTCCTTTATGGCATTAAAGAAGACCGTTAAGCAGAGTGTTACCAATACAGTAACTAGTGTGATGGTGTATGCAACATTCAGCCCCTGCAGACTCCGGCCTCTCAACTTGAGAGAAGGGTTGTCCATTTTATTCTCAGTTCTCTGAGCTTTTCATTGATTTTTCAGTTGCTCAGATGCTTGCCAGTCATCATTTCATTACATTATTGTGGTCATTGTGTCTGTTCTAATCACCCTGAACCAGGTCAGTCACCCAAATCCTCCCACTTTCTCTGTACTACTCATATGCGTCTTTGCCTCTTACACAATATTTCGTTGTATGACGTCTGGAACACATTTTTTTTTTAGTCATTCCCCGATAGGGTGGGAACCTACTTTATTTCCAAGTATTTGTGACCATGAAAATGTGGCTATGAATACTTTGGTCCATGCTGGACTTGTTTTCAACCTCTTTGGGGTACACATGCTGAGAAGTGGAATTGCTGAGTCAAAGGCTGTGAGTAGCTTCATTACTTTGCTCACTCAATTCCAAGTGGATCAAATTGCAGCTCCACCAATAGGGTATGAGTGCACTTGTCCTTCTACAGCCCTCATATTCTGATCTTTCCCATTCTGGGGTCATTTTTGAGCATTTTCAGGCCTGAGGTGACACTGCACATGCCTTCAATGTGTATTTCTTTAGTTGTTACTGATCGGGGCGCATTTTCCTATAGCTGCTGGCAGAAAAATGACATGGAAAGCAAGGACTGGTCTGGTTTGCAAGTTCCAAGTTTGTATGTAACTTCCTCGACATTCTTGACCAAAGCTGGGAAAAGGCCCAAGTCTGTTCCAGGTGAGGTTTGAAAAGTAAAAAGTGTATGCTCTGAGCCTTCCCCAGAGAGGCAACCAGCGTTTATTAAGTACCAACTATGTTCCGGGCCCTGTGCTCTAATGATCATACAACAAACACTGCTGTGTTGCAGGGAATCACATTTTCTGGTATTTCTTTTTAAAACGCAACATGACAAAGTATTTCTAGCTTTGCTCCCTTTGCCCTGGGCAGCTATGTGGCACGCTCTGCTCAGCCCTCTGCCAGCTCCTCGACAGGAGGGAGCCAGAGTCCCTTAGCAGAGAGACCACAGGCAGGCTGGGGCAGTGCCTGGTGAAGCTCACGGACAGGGCCTGCTGACCAACACCCCACCGGGCATCTCCTCACTCCCTCTGGGCAGTTTCATGGCAGGAGGGGGCTCCTCACACTCTCAGGCCTCTCAATGCCTCAAGTAACCAGCACCTGCTGGACCACCTTCCGTCCTCTTTCCTGAAGGCCTGAAGGCACACACCTATCCACGTGAGTGATTGCAGCCCCTGGACAGGCCGGTCCCAGTTCTTGTGGATGGGTAATGGTGGCTTTCCAGACCAAATGACTGCCCTTGCTAGAGGGTGGGCTAACATGGGCAGAGATGCGTAATTTGTGTGGACAAGGTCATAGGGTCTAGAGGTCAAGGGCTGCAATGATTCTGTTAGTTGTGCTTTTTGTCACTAATCAAAGTATGTGCGCATGTACATGTAAATATATGTCTATTCACACACAAATACACATGCAAATACACAGATGCATGCAGACGCACTGAATTTTGTCCCTATTCAGTGTACAATACCTATACACGCATGCACGCATGTAAACATTTACAGATCTTACCTTGCTTGTACACGGTTGCTTGCATACTGTCTTCCCTATGAAGACTGTGATCTCCTTGGGGACTGGGATTGTTTTGGCCTTTCTTGGCATTTCCAGCACATAGCACACTGCCCGGAACATAGCAGGCACTTAATAAATGTTTGCTGACCTGACTTGAGTTGATGTTTCTGTCTAACTGCTGTTGCTTTGCTCCTGTGGTTCATACGTTATGGCCAATGCATTGGCTGTTACTACACACCCAGACCCCAAAGAGCCAAGCCCAGGCCCGGAGCTCGTTTATTACCTTCTCGAAGGAGGCCATACGCCTTGAAGAACTGCAGAACGGAGTCATTGCTGAATTTCTCCAGGCCTTCTGCGGCCGCATTCTGCACATGTCGGAAGTACTTTTCTTGACAATAATAGATTATTCTGGCCTAATGGAGATAAAAACTATCTGAGTTACTACTGCAGCTGGTGGAAAGAACTTAATCAAGCAATGGTATGGAAATAAGTTTGCACATTTAACTCTTGGGTTATGAATTGGCAAATTACTTCACGGAGACTATTTATCATTGCCATTATCATAGCCACACTATTTACGTGTCTTGATGCTTTAATGGAATATACCCACAAGAGACCCAAGAGAGTGGAAGAGGACCCATTGGCAAAAACATACGTATAGCAGCTCTTTTTGGAGCAGAGAAGACTTGGGAATGTACAGAATACCCATCGGTTGGGGAACGGCTGGACAAGTTACGGCGGATGAATGTAATGGAAAAGCACTGTGTTGTACGAAATGAAGAGATAGTTTCAGAGAAACCTATGCAGACTTGTATGAAATGATGCAGGGTGAAGTAAGCAGAACAATAATCACCACATTAAAAGACAGTCCTTGATCTCAAGGGGGATATAACATCCAATGGAGAGTGTTGGCCAAGGAGGGAAGCAGTCTGGGAAGTCACTGGGACGTCATTGTTACACCTTTTCCAGAAGCAACAGTGATATCAATTTGATTATGGTACCCTGTGCAAGGGATGGAAAGTGGTAGTTGGGATGGAGGGGTGATGGGGAGGACGTATATATGATGGCTGGTGAAAGGGCAAAGTGCCAGATGTCCTGACAGATGTCTGGACTCCTGTCAATCAAACAACATCTCCACCCTTGAAGTGACCACACAAACACAGCTGAGCCTCCTGGAAGGGATCTGTAATCATTCAGAGTAGTTTGGCCTAACTGTCTACAGGGAGAGAGCATGTGAATACAGATTTACTGTCCAGAATGCAAAACTCATCTGGATGGACACCCTCATGCCTTGTCCATAAATACAACTGGATGAGTTGGGTGCCAGTTGGGTGGCAGAAATGACTGGATCACTTTCAGGGAGCTGCTAAGCTCCTTTGCTGACCCTGAGCTTCCCATGGAAGCAAAGACCCATCTTTTGAATGCCAACATTCTAGCCGAGCGGCTATGTGTCAGTGACATATGGAATCCAACAGTCTCTAGATAGCACTCAAAGAGCCACGGAGAGACACATGGTGGGGATGAGCAGGCTGCTACATATGACCGGGGCCGGGGTGGAACATGAGTAAATGGCATCATGGAACTGTATGATGGAAGAGAAGATGGACTGGGCACATTGCAAGAAGGATGCCTGGCACTGGACAGCTGGAATGGTCTAGTAGTACTCTGTTGATGTCAAGAAGAAGGGAGGAAGGCCTCCTCTGGCTTGGGAGGATTCCCTGATGTGAATCCTGGAAAGATGTGGACAAGAGCTGCTCAGGATGGGCAGGCGCGCACCACTGATGGGCATTTCCAAATGGATGAATGCACAGTCCATTTGAGAGCTTTATCCTTGGCATCTAGCCTCAAACCAGGCACACTGCATGTGCTTGAAATCTGTCGAGTTGAATGGAGGCCTGAGGCCTGGGAAGAGGCCACCGGATGTGGGAAGTTAGGAAGTCAATGGCAACCTTGGAGAGCAATTTCAAAGGGATGGTGGCGGCAAAAGGGGGATTGCAGAGGAATAAGAGAGGACAGAAAGGAAGTGAAAAGGGGCAGCTAGGTGGCACAGTGATAAAGCACCAAGCCTTAGAGTCAGGAGGACCCGAGTTTAAATCTGGCCTCAGACATACAACACTAGCTGTGTGACCCTGGGCAAGTTACTTAACCCCAACTGCCTTGCAACAAAAAAAAAAAGTGAAAAATTTCAAAGCAGCTTAACAAGCACTGAAGTGTCTAACATGAGCAAAGCATAATAAGGCCAAGGCATTGGATATGCAGACACACCAACCCCCTCAAACCCTGAAGAGGTCCCTGCCCTCAAGGACCTTTCCCAGCTACTGACTTCCTCACTCTCCCACCGTCCCACCAGCTACTGAAAGAAGGCCAACTGTGTAAGGTAGGAGGCCTTGGGGAAGTGACTGAACACCTCAGTGGTGAGGTTAAGGTCTTCATCATCTTTGGGGAGTGAACGGTGCTCCTTTCAGCAAAATGCCTGGCACACAGTTATCACTGAAAATAAATGGCTGTTGTCTAAACAACTGGTTAAGAAGATGACTTCTTTGACCAGGATCTGGATTCCTGGACCACAGCTTAAGCTATAAGGGATGACAGACTCCTGACTGGGGATACAGTATACCTACTCAGCATAGTGTGCAGTCTTGCAAAGTGAACCCAAAGGGCTTTAAACTGAAAAGGAAGGAAGAAGGAGCAAAGTGCCTGCGTACACCCACTCAATTTGGATACTGCAGAGGAAGGAGGAGTAGTGGCTGAGGTAAGGAAAAGTTAGGAGGCAAAATCCAGGAAAGGAGCCGGTTATTAAGCTCATGGCCTGGGAAGCCGGTATGGGACAGCGGAGCGCTGGCAATAAGCAAGGTGCACTAGAGAGGTCTTCACACCAGGAAGCCCACTTGACTCCACTCCTGTGTCTCTGGATAGGTGAACTTCATTGAAAACAAGCAGGCCACACATCCAATCACTGTCTACTAAGACGATGCCCTAGGATAGAGTAAGACAAGCAAGCCAGGGACCACCCACCCGTTCCAATCGTCTCCCCTCCCCACTCCTCTTTCCAAACCTCTCTCTCTTCCACCCACCATGAGGGCCGAATCACTGCTGCTCATCTTGGAGCTGGGGGGGTCTGGGGCGGCCGGCTGAGAGTGTCAGGCTCCAGAGGCAAAAGCGGGGAGTGAGCGGTTTGCACCACGGGGGATCCGAGCCTGGGGGGCCAGGATTGGGTCAGGGGGCCACGGGAGACACAGGGTCCGGCCCCCGACGGATCAAGGCTGGGAGGCTCAGGATTGGGGTTAAAGGACTCACTGGGAGCCTTTGGTTTCGGCCAGGCCAAGGAGGGCTGTGGTCAGGGGTCAAGGGTCAGACTCAAGAATTGGGGAGGGGGCTGGCCAGGGCAGGGACGAGGCAGGAGCTGGGATCAGAGTCCCGGAAGGGAGAGGGTAGGGGTCAAGGGCAGGGACAAGACCAGGGTCTGGGTCGGGGTCTAGGCAAGGACAAGGCAGGGGCCAAGGCCGGGGTCAGGGCCAGAGCCGAGGTCGGTCAGGTCAGGCAGAGGTCGGTCGGGTCAGGCTGGACTCGGTCGGGTTCCGAGTCGGGACCGGGTTCCAGGCTCCCCCGCTGGGAACCTCGGCGCCTCGCGACTGCCTGAGGTTTCCGGGGCGTCCTTAGCAACTTTAGCGTCTCCTTGGCAACAGAACACGTTTCCAGGGCGTGGCTTCGGGCCCCAGGCGAAGTAATCCATCCCGGATAGGTCGATGGGCAATAGGCGCTCGCCCCGCCTCCGGCTCGGGTCTCCATTGAGGATGCCTGCCGCGCCGACAGCTGCGCCTGCGCATCAATTTGGACCGGGCCGGGCCGGGCCGAACCGGAGCCCGCGGAGCCGGAGCCGGACAGTGGCCGCCTGGGGACACGTGCGGCCATGGGCCTGACGGCCAGCGCGGAGCAGCCTGAGGGCGGCGCGGAGGGATTCCACCTGCACGGGGTGAGTGATGCGGCAGCCAGGCGGGGTGGGCTCAGCGGGGTCCGCGGCAGCCACCTTGGGGTGGCAGACCTTCCCGGGCCTCAGTTTCCCCACCTGTCCATGACGGGGTTGGACAAGGTGGCCTCCCCGTCTGCTTCCAGCTCGTGACCTGTGACCCCGCCCAGATCCCCGAAGGCCCCCGGGCCTCAGTTTCCCCATATGTCAGAACAAAGGGGCTCCTTTCTGAGCCTGTGACCCCCTGGATGCTCCCAGCTGTGTGACCCCAGAGCAGTGGCCCCGGGGGTGTGTCCCCCCACTTCTCGGGCCGGAATCACCCCGGGAGGTCGCGAGGCAGCTTCGCCGGCGGCTCCCCACCCCCCCTTTATTGTTTAGTTCATTTTTGTGACGTCATCGCGGCCATCCCCAGGATCCCCCGCCGAGGCTGGAGAAGTCGGAAGCGGGTGGCGTGAGGGGGCTCCCCCGATCTGGGGGTCCCCGCCCCTCCCGGGAGCCCCACTACCCCGGTCACCTTTGCGCCTGGTGGGCCGCGGGGCCCCTTCCTTGGTCCTGCGCTTCCTCCGCCTCAGTTCGGCAAGCTCTTTCCAGGCTTCTGTTTCTTGCAGCCTGCGTTCCTGCCCTGCCAGGGCTGCGGCCACTCTGCGACCTCGTGTCCGCTTCTTTGCTATCGCGAACATATTTTATATGTATGGGAACTTTTTTCTCATTGAGAGTTTCTGGATCACTTTATTTGCCTAATTTCAAATTGCTTTCCAAAATGGTTGTACCATTTCACAGCTCCACCAACAACGTATTAGCGTGCCTGCCTTCCCACAACCTCTCCAGCGTTTACTGTTGCCATTTCTTGTCATCCTTGACAATTTGCAGGGTGTGATGAGGCGAAACCCCTCAGGGCTCTTGTGATTTGCGTTTCTCTAATTGCCTATGATTTGGAGCGGGGATGCGCCACGTGATTGTGAATACAGAATCCTCTTAGGAAGCTGCACGGGTTCCCTGTTCAGATCTTGGCCCGTGGCTTGGGATAGCCTTGGTTTATTTCCTGCCCAGATACCAAATTCTTTGCCAATCCCGGTGAGGGCTCCTGGTTCTTGGTAAAAGCCAGTGTCGTTATGCGGCCTTGAAAGTGTATTTACTGCTGCTGTCTGGCTCCTCTGACGGACCTTCTCAGCCCTCTCTCCAAAGCCAAAGCCAAAGCCATCCTTGGCATGCAGGAATGTAGCATCTCAAAAGGTCGCTTTAGCCGGAGGCAGTGGGATGGGTGCACTGAAGTCCGAGACCTGGGCTTTAGGCCTCCCTCTGCCCGTGGCCCTGTGGGTCCTGAGACTCCCCAGCCTTTATGGGCCAGCTGAGGAGTTGGGCTGGGGAGGATCTCAAAGGTCTTTCCTGGAGCCTCTGGAGGTATTTTTTCAGAGGTGCCCCACAGAACTGGACTTGGCTTTTGACCAACAAGCCTTTCTCCATGCAGGCAAACGTCATTACTCATAGTCATAATAATGGGATCAGCTGTTGGGAGCCAGAAGGGGCCTCGGGCTCTCTGCTCAGCCCCTCAGTTTAGAGATGAACAGACTTGCCCCTGGGGGTCCTGCAGGTAGTAGGAGGCAGAGCCAGGCCTTGGGCCTCCTTCCTCCCACACCAGAGTCAGCCTCGTGAGCAGGGTTTCATGCAGAACAATGGGAGAGGTTGTATATGAATGTTTCCCCAGTGCACCTTCAGTTTGGTTTCAAACCCTCTGGAAGAAGCATCCTGCCGTTGTCAGAGAGAATCTCTGCCACCTCCAGGCAGGGAGAGAGAGAGCTTGGTAATGTTTGTCTTTTAGCATAGCTGAGCAGCTGTGCTTCTGAAGCTGGTCCTCAGCTGACTTTCTGTTAGCATTTATTAAGCACCTGGTGTATACCAGGCACTTGGACTGGACCTTGGTTCAGAGTCCAAATGAATTTCATGGAACACCTTATCAATAATCAGTCCACCAGCATTATTCATAAAAAAAACCTTTTATTCTTTCCCACAATTACGTGTAAAAAATTATATGGACATAGATGTAGATGTATTTTAAGTTTTAAGTCTCAAATTCTCCCCACCCCTTCCCTGCCCCCCCATCAGTCTGATGGAGGTTATCCACGTGCTTTCATGGACAACATATTTCCGTATTAGTCTTTTCAGCAGGTATTTATTCATTGCCTGTTCTGTGCCACGTACTGTGCTTGGCCCTCAACAAAGACAAGAATGGTCCTGCCCTCCAGGAGCTTACATTCAGCCCCATGGCAGGCTTCACCAGAGGCCCAGCCAGGCTCTGAGGCTTATTGGATTCTGGGTCTGCTAAGCTTTTTTTTTCTTTTTTATTACAAACAAGTTTTAGCAATGCCTTTTGTTTTTATATCCTGAATCCCAGATCAAGGTCCTCTTCCGTGTCCAAGCCACACAGTTATAATCCGTCCACTGACCTCATCTGACAGTGTAAGTAAGCCCTGTTCCGAGCTCAGAGAAGGCGGGACCCCAGAGAACCCATTTACCCCTGAGGAGGGGAGGCCCAGGGAGGCTATGACTTGCCAAAGGCCAGTGAGGTAGGAGGATGGTGCTGGGAGATCCTTCGAGGCCTGTTTCTTTTGTACGGGTGGTTGCAGTCCCAAAGTATACTGTAGATTGCCCCCATTGGGTTGGCTTCCGTCCATCTCTGGAGCTTTGCCCGGGCTTTGCCGCCAGCCCCCTTCCTTTTGTCCTTCTCCATATGGTGCCTCTGAATGTGGGCCAGTACACGGGCCACGGGGTGACCGGCTCTCGTTCCCACACGCCAGCCACTCGCCCTCTCCCAGGAATGGTGTGTGGAAGGCGTTTTGCAGATCTCAAAGTGCCCCGTGCAGATGTAGTTGTTACTGTGGGTCTGCTGCCCGCCTTCTCCACAGGCCTGGCGTGTCCTCACTTCCCTGGGAATTCTCAAACATGCTGTCAGATGTGTCCCTCAATTCTCTTACACGACCTAGAGCACGTCCTGTTCTGTGCAGATTGCTGTGTTTCTTTTCCTGATTCTGGTTCCAGGCTTTTTCCTGCTTGACTGATCAAAGGCCACACTGTTCTCTTCAGAACAGCCTGGTTGTGTTTGCTTTGCAAGTCTATCATTACACCTGGAGCATAGAAGATTGTATGTCGGGCAGCAGCAGGGCGAGGGGAAGGCTGTTGGCACCCTCTCGGGGCCTGGCTCAGGGCAGGCCATTTCCAGGAAGCTCCTCTCCAAGCTATATTTGGCTAAATGTGGTTTGACTGCATTCAGCCTCAGCGGAAGGGGAGACCCAGCCAGGCCATTGTGGGAGTTGTAATTAGATTAATCTCCCATGACCAGCAGACTGACCCATGGTTGCTCTCTGCAACCATATTAGGTGGGCTGTAAAGTGGAAGAGAGAGCTGACTTGTGTGTGGCTCCCGGAGGCTGGATTTCACTTCGGCGTAATGAACAGCTTTCTAATGTTTGGAGCTGTTCTGCGGTGGAAATGCCCATCTTTCGAAGTGCTGAGGCCTGTGCCATTGGGGTATTTGAGGAGCGGGATGCTGTAGAGAAAACTTCTCATGTTCCTTGTTTTGAAATGATCTCTGGCCCTTTTCCTATTTAGAGTCCTTGTTACTGAAAACCCAGAAACCTTGTGCTGGACAAAGGGAATCACACCCTCCCTTGGACGTGTCCTGCCTTTCAGGGGCAAGCAGAGTATTTATTATACACTTTCTGTTTCCTATACTGTGCTACAGACACAAATACAAAAGCCAAGACAGCTTCTGCCCTCAAGGAGCTTACGTTCTAACCCAGGAGGGGGCCAGGGAGGGTTTGGTGAGTGGATTCACAGGAGGGTAGGTTGCCATGCCTTTTCCAGGATCAATGACAGCTGATTACATTGAATCCAGACCTGGAAAGTGGAATGGGGGTGAGAGCATAGGTCGATAGATGGCCGACAGGGAGGAGAGTAAAGCATGATTGGAGCCACGCCTGTGTGTAGTGGACAATGTCCCATCAGGACAGGGCTCTTCAGGATGGGCGTTGTCCCCAGAAGGAGCCTCTGCCATTTCTCTTTTTGCTTAGGTGGCTATGGGACACAATGGATAGGACTTGGAATCTGGAAGACAAGATCAAATTGTACCTCAGATGCAATTATCATTATTATCATAATCATCATCACCACCATTATTATTATTATCGTTATTAGCTTAGTACCCAGAGGCAAGGCCTCTGCTTTTATGGGTCGTCTGGCTTTTCTTAGCTTCTGGACTACTTAGCAAGTAGTGATGGAAAGGCACAGGGCCAGGATGGTCATGGGCACCATTGGTGCCATCATCTGGGAAGACACCCTTGAATGCAAAGCATCCATCTGCCAGAGAACCCCCTGCTTTCTTCTCTTGGCTGAGGAGAGAGCTCCAGAGAACACAACAAAAAAGTCCCTTGGCCATCACCATGATTGCCATTTCAAAGTAGAACAGCCTGTTTTTCTCCAGAGAAACAAAGGCTGCCTTTGGGGCTTTCTCCAGGGCAGTGCCAGGTGTGGGTGCCACCCTGAAGATGTACATGCCAGTCTGAGACCCTGGATTCCCACACTGTTGATGTCTTTATGGGGGGTGGAGCCTGTGTCTGCCATGTATGCCTGGTATGCCACGTATGCTCCAATGAGACTCCCTCCTAGGTGTCCCACCCATTGATAGGGACACCTAGGAGAGAGCCTCATTGGGGCGAGAGATGGGACAGAACCTCTGAGCCGCACTGGCCGCTGGAAATGTTCTCTTGATGAATTCTGTCCTCCCTGGAAGCTGATGGAGTACAGGCGTCTGTCTTTGTAGAGAGACTCTGGCTCTGAAGAAGGATCCCACAGACCCACCTCACCTTTATATGCCAGCCATCATTATGGATGGTGAAGTGGCTGAGGAGCCTGGTCTCTGCCCCCCCCCCCCGGCAGAGCTTGGCTGTTGTCCCATCATTCCAGCAGAGCCCTGCAGAGCCACCTCCTCGGTGGTGCCACCACCCACCACCA